AAAAAAAGATAATCTTTCTGTAATCACCACCTCAGACTTTGGAGAGTGCTCCTGTGGGATCTGCTGGCATCAATAAAATTTTCTTTTTTTCTTTCTTTCTTTCTTTCTTTCTTTCTTTCTTTCTTTCTTTCTTTCTTTCTTTCTTTCTCTTCTCTCTCTCTCTCTCTCTCTCTCTCTCTCTCTCTCTCTCTCTCTTTCTTTCATCTTTTTTGAGAGAGGGTCTCGCTATGCAGTTCAGGCTGGCCTTGAGCTCACTTTGTAGCCCAGGCTGGTCTCAAACTCACAGTGATCCTCCCACTTCAGCCTCCTGAGTGCTGGGATTACAGGCATGAGCCACCATGCCCAGCTAAAATTTCCTTTCTTATCGTGAGCTCCTGGATATTATTTATTTAATTTTCTCCACACTACCAAAAAAAAAAAAAAAAGACATTATCATTTTAAGGGAACAATTTTGTTGTGTTTTGTATTGGTCATTACTGATTGGCTAACACATGATTCATATATATATGATAGATAGATAAATAGAAATAAATATTACTTTCTTTTGTTTTTTTTTTTTTTGAGTTTGAGGGTCTTACTATTTGGTTCCCCCAGGCTGACCTTGAGCTCTTTTATATACCTCAAACTGGTCTCAAACTCATGGTGATCCTCCTGCCTCAGCCTCCCAAATCCTAGGATTATAGGGGTGTGCTACCACGCCCAGCTGGATATTACACTTTAAAAGGCCAATAATTATTAGAGGATTTAACCTGAGAGATTTTCGACTCCTTGTAAACATAAGGCAGGGTTTGGTGGTTGACTGGCTAGGCTGACTAGCAGCCAGGCAATGCTATTTGGCTTGAGCCTTCAAGGGTGATAAGGGGGAGGTGTTCCAGGCAGAGCACGGAAGGTAGGAAGCACCAGGGCCCCAGTGGAAGGAGAAGAAGAATGATGAGTTACAGGGAGAATTGTGAGAAATCAGGTAGGGTAATGAATTTGAGTTGATTCTTTTATTTTTTTTTTGATACAAGGTCTTGCTATGTAGTTCATGTTAGTCTCACATTTGGGCCCACTTTGCAGCCCACACTGGCCTTGAACTCTCAGCAATCCTCCTGCCTCAGACTCCTGGATGCTAAGATTAGAGGCGTGTACCACCTGTGCCTGGCAAGCTGATTCTAAGTGTAGTTAGGTGTTATTTGGTTTACTTTTTGAACAGATCATTTTACTGAGTGGACAATAAGTTGTGGGAGAAGACATTGCAAGGAATAGTTTACTATAAACATGAAACCATATGTCCTCCTAATGGTTACTTCCAAATTATTATAAATAATTTTTTATCTTCTCTTGACAAAATTTTAAGGAGTTTCCATATTTTTGTTTTGTTTTTTCTTTTTGAGACAGGTTCTCACTATGCAGTTTAACTCAGGCTGGCTTTTGTAGCTCAGGCTGGTCTCAGACTTGCAATGATCCTTCTGCTTCAGCCTCCCAAGTGCTGGGATTACAGGAGTGCACCACCGTGCCTGACTGAAAAGAACATTTTAATCCAATATCCTTCATGAATACAAAAGCAGAAATTCAAAATAAAGTTTTAGTAAATCAAATCTCATAATTTATCTGTGATACTGCGTCATGATTAACCTAGGAATGAAAAGTTAGTTTAATATTTAAAAATCAATATTGAAAAAGGAAAACTAGCCAGGTATGGTGGTGCACACCTGTAATCCCAGCACTCGGGAGACTGAAGCAGGAGGATTGCCATGAGTTGAAGGACAGCGTGGGCTACAAAGGGAGTTCAAGGCCAGCCTAGATTGCATAGTAAAACTGTAAGGAAACAAACAAACAAAAAAAAAAAAAAAAAAAAAAAAAGGAAAACTATGTGGTCATTTCAAAGCAGAGAAAAATAATATGAAATAATTCAGTATCTGGTAAAAAAAAAAAACAAAATTAGGAATGAAAGAGCACATCTGTCCTCAACTTGATGAAGGATATCTTTCTGGTTTCACAGACACAGGAACTCAAGCAGAGAAGCTCCGTGGTCTGTCCAGGGTCTCACAGCCAGATTGAGATCTGGGAGATAAACCCGATGTTCCTCCTCTTCATTATTATGTGACAGTGCTGCTTTCAGAGGCCCTGCTGTATCCCAGTGATTTTCTTGTGAGTTTTCCTTCGCTTTAGGAAGAGGAAGGCGCCCTGGCCTGCGCTCCTGCCAGGGTGGAAGTGGACCTCTGTCTCTTAGCACAAGGGTGCTGTGCCCCTTCCCCTGGGCTGTCTCCTCTGGAGCTGGGGGTGTGGAAGTGGAGGATCGGGGTCGCTGGAAGGCAGCCCTCTGTTCCCAGAGGAATCCTCTGCCTCTGTTTAGCTGTTCCGTCACCTCTGTGCCCTGGCCGCCAGCACTGGGGGAAGGAAGTTACTTTTTACTAGAGGCTGCCGTCCTGTGGGTCAGAGGATGGCAGCTTGGACTACAGTGGTGGTGAAAATAGAATCCGATGAATTTTGGATGTGTTTTTGGAGACGAAGCCAACGGGTGATGGTGGTGGGTTAGATATGGAGGAGAAGAAAATTAGGATGGAAGCGGAAGATGGTGCCTAAGCAGCCAGGTGGGTGAAGGTGTCTTTTAAAGAGGTGGAGAAGATTTGAGAGGAAGCGTGGGAGCCTGAGGGTGGGCTGGTTAGCAACAGTGCTGTTCTGCATGGTTAAGTTCTAGTTACATGTTAGACAAGTCAGAGAATAGCAAACAGACCAGATACCAAATGCAGAGCTGGATATGAGTTTGAGGCTCAGGGGGCAGATGCAAGGCTAGACCTATGCGTTTAAAACCACAGGATAAAGTAAAGTTAATTTGGAAGAGGATGAGGAGAGCAAAGAGAAGCCCAGATAAGCCACATTCCGTCAGTATTCAAAGGGAGGCAGTGCCTGGGAGCATGGTCTCCACGCCGAGACAAGCAGTCCAGTCCGGTTTTGAGGCTCCACAGAAGGCGAGGCACCCGCTGGCCCCATTGTAGTCAGACAGATGCAGAACCAGGGTGTCTGCTGGATTAGACACAGAAGCAAAGTTGGAGCGAAATACACAGTTGAAACTAAATTATCTTTAAGACCCCTTTTATCTAGACGAGCCTGTCACTAAAGTGCTTATCCCCAAATCTTAAATATGAATGTAGAGAAAGAAACCATTATTTTGGTGAAGCATTCAGAACACATAGTTAAGTGCTCAATCTCTTACTTCGTGTAAAAAGTTCTGGTCACACTTTGCACTTTTTTTGTGGGAAGAGCATAACTGAAATGAGAGGTAAAGATCTGGACACTCACATGTGTACACACTTGCCTTTAGTTCATGCTAAAAAGAATATGGTAGAATTCACCTATCACACAGATTTGAAAATGCAAGTAGAAATCTCAGCTAACTTTTTCAGTAGTGAGCCTACTTGTAAAACATGGTTAATCTCTGTCATAAATAGTTAAGGTAACTACTCACACCCAGCCCTTCTGCTGGGTGGTCCACTGGCTTTCCAACTTTGACGTTAAGGGTACATTATAATCAGTTAATTTGCTGCTATTTATTTATTATTAGTTGTGGTGCTAGGGATCGAGCCAATGGCCTTTGCACTGAACTAGATCCCTGCTCTTATTTTATTTTTTATTTTGAAAAAATTCTTGCTCAATCTCTAAATTGCCCACACTGGAATTGAGTTTGTGATCATCCTGCCTCAGCCTCCCAGAATGCTGAGAGTGTAGGCATATACTCTCACATCTTTCTAATACATAAAACTGTTTGTGTGATACCAGAAATGTTTCTTAGATGCGAGTAGTTTCTAAGTCCTATTGATAGTATAAATTAAAGTGAGAATAAACTTTGATGGTGTAGTAAGTAGTATTTCACATTCTGCTACCTGGTACTTTGTTCTTGCTAGACTTTAAATACATATCCTTAAAGGAATATAAATTTGTACTAGCCATAAAACTCTAGCTCTTTATTTTCCCACTTCTATACCTCTAGCTAGCTTGCTTGTGATCCTGAAGCATTATTTATAACCACTTAAATTCCAGTGGTACTTTTACACCAAAAGTAACATAGACATGGTGTTGTTGCATGTAAGTGTAACCAATGTATTCCTGGACTCAACCCTGAGTAAGAGAGAAAATTTTAGCATCTTGGAGTTGGGCTAGGGAACATCTATGCAAAAGCTCAATTAAAAAAGAAGACATTAATTAAGTGAAAACGTTTAAACCAAATATTTCAGTGGTTCAGTTTTGTGTGCAGGCATCTCAAATAAAAATCACCTCATCACTTTACAATTTTGAAAGGTATTACTAGGTGGGAAAACACAGATCTGCCTTTCTGCTATGAAATTAAAATGTGGAAATGATTCATTCAGTATTCACCAGTTTCTAATGCTAACATGTTTGAACTTTATAAAATTACTCTATTAAAAGTATATACCTAGGTATGATATCTTAATTAAACCTAGTGGAAAAAATTGGCTCAAGATACAATCATAGCTTTAAAGGGCTTTCGTTTCTTCCTTTTCTTCTTTCCTTTCCCTTCCCTTCTCACCCCTTTCCTTCTCTTTATTTATTGTTCCAGACACAACAGATCTGAGATGTTTGATTTGATGATTAATATAAATATGTGTATATAATAATCTGAAGAATTCCTATGTAAACATTCCTAGTGTGCTCCTGACTTGATATTATGATTGGTTTTCTTGATTATATATTGCTTCTTCTTTTTTTCTAGTTTATGCATTTCTGTAGCATAAATGCAAAATAAAAAATGGTTGCATGAAATCTTGACCTTTTGGGAATGCTCTAGAAGAAGGTACTTTAAATATGAATCATACTCTTTTTTTCCACTGTGGTCTTTAAAATTTCAGCCTTCAACCGCAGTTGTGATTGTTTTGAGTTTGTTAGTCGCCTGGCACGTTATTTTAAGAAAGCAGAAGCACCATCATTTGTATACGTGGAGATCACACACCTTAGTCCTGACTTTGTGGCTCCAGTTTTTCAAAAGAAGTGAAGCCAAGATGAAGAACCATATGCTTTTCTGGGCAGTCCTGGCTGTTTTTGTAAAGGCTGTTCTTGTGACAGGTATGTGGAATTTATAAAATGAACTCAGGTAAAAGGAAAAATGTAGCACAGATCTGATTCTCAGATGTAAAGATTTTTGTTCCTTCTAACAAATTTTAATCTTTATTTTGGCAGTGATATTTATGCAGACAAGACTCAGTATTATTATTTTTCTTTCTTGTCTCATAGTTATTTGCCTTCTATAAACCTACTAGATTGGTAATCTTTCTTTGTCTCTTAAATGAATATTAGAGACAAATGATTTAATAATTACTGTAAGTAGAATATAAAAAGCATTATGATTTTATTTCCTTAGAAAGATTGGTATTATTTCAACTTTCCTAGGTCTGAGCACACAAATATATTTGTGGGCTACACAGTATGCTCAAGGCCAATTTGGAATATACAGCAAGAGTCTGTCTCAAAACAGCAACAAAGAAAGAAAAAACATCCCCCCAAAAGGCACTATCTTTCAAAAAACCCCCTATGGTCATATCCGCCATGCATTATTATATAATCCTCTTTTTTTCTGTCTGGGGAACGACTCCGGGCCTCCACACTAAGCAGATCCCTGTTCCCCTTTTTGAGATGAGGTCTTGCTAAGTTGCCCAGACTGGGCTTGGAATTTGTATCCTCTTACTGGACCTGCCCAAGTGCTTGGATTACAGGTGTGCACAGCATGAATTAAATTTTTTATTGAATGAATTAAATTAAATTTAACAAATATTTACTGAGTATTTGTAATGTCTCAGATGCTTTTGGAGTAAAGTAAGGCAAATGTCTAATAGCAGGTTTATTTGGAAAAATGAGCTTTCAGATAAGAAAATATTAAAATCTAAGTCTTGGGGGGTAAAAAGTATTTGTGCATTTTCCAGTAAATGTATTTGCTTATCTAGTATTTTTATATAACAACAGTTTTGATACATTCTTCCTAGATTTCTGTTAAGGAAATACATTGTATTTCATAGTAGAATATAGATTTTTTCATTTAATTCTCAACAATCAAGTCATTTACTGGACTCAGTGTTTTTCAGTCAGCATTACATATACATTTATATTCATTGAGAAAAACATTTAAAAGTATGAAGACAGCAGTAGGGAAGATGACCCCATTTGAGTTACTTTACTCTTTGCACTTTAAGAGTTATATCATTATCTTGAATTGCCTTCTTCAATATTGTAGAGAGTTATGTCAGAAGATTTATTGAGAACCTTGAATAATGACAATTATTACAAAGTGCTTCAGTTACAATGATCTTAAAATATTTTTGTAATGGCTGTTATCATTAAACTGAAATACTGCAGTTAGGTTTTCTCTGCTCTGGGAATCATCTCAGAATAATTAGATTTCCAGTTGTAATGATCTATCTTTTCTTTTTATCAAAAAAAAATTTTTTTTGGAGACAGAATCTTGCTGTGTAGTTCAGGCTGGCTTTGAACTTTGTATGTAGCTCACATTGCCCTTGAACTTTGAATGGTATTTATTTTGACCATTTAATCTTTATAAGTTGATTCTACGTACTAAATCCTTTTTTTAATTTGAAGTTTAATGGGAAGAATTTTTAAATGCTACAAAGCTAAAATTATAAGAATAAAAAGATCTTTAGCATCATGGTTAGCATCATTAAATAATACTATTATTAACTCAAGTATCTGTTAGTTGCTCTAAGTCCAGGAAGAAATTTTCTTTATTTACTCCTTAAAATACTAATCAGACTGTGCTGGCAATGTAGCTCAGCAGCACAGTGCCTGCCTGACAAGTGTAGGGCTCTAGGGCTGGGGATTTAGCTCAGCAGTATAAGTGCCTGCTTGGCAAGTGTGAGGTTGTGAGTTCAATCCCCAGTACCATCAAAAAAAAAAAAAAAAAAACAAAAACAAAAACCCAAAACAAAACAAGTGTAGGGCTCTGAGTTTGAATCACAATACTGAAAAATAAATAAAATTAAAAAATAAAACAAAATACTAACCAGAATTTTTGTATAATATTTAGATTAGACAATAAATGTTGACATTTAAAGTTAAGGTTTTAATGGTTAACTATGTATTAATTCATTTATTCATTATTTCTGTATGCTGATGTATTAAATTGAACTTGTACCTCAATATTTTCTAAATTGTTTTTGCAAGTTTATAGCATTTTAATTATATGCCTTCATCTTTTAAAATTATTCTTATAAGAAATATTAATATAGCTCTTATTGAATAAAATCACCATACTATGATAATCTGATTATTATTATAAAAAGAAAAAAATTAGGAAAATTGAGGAAAATATTTAAAAATCTTACACAAACAATTTATCTTTGGGGGAAAGGTACCTGCTTTTACTCTATGTAACATAAGCAACATTTTTTTTTTTTAGTTACAAATGAGAGTTGAAAAAGGATGTGACATTTTGAATGAAGTTTATAAAAGCTAATGCTATTTTTTGTTCCCATTTGAATTAATTGTTTTGGCTAGGGAAAACTCCAGAGTTTGCTTTATCTCTGACTTGGGCATTTGCCACTGGTTTTTATAAAACTACATCATCCACAGAGCAGAATCTCTTTGGAGCTATTAGAAGAGAATTAGAATTCTTTCAGCCCAGGTTTTTTTTTTTTTTTTTGTCTTTTTCCTTTTTATCGGTACCAGGGATCGAACTCACAACTGTCTGCTTGCAAGGCAGGAGCTTATGCCGCTGAGCTAAATCCCCAGCCCCTCAGCCCAGTTTTTTATGGAACAATCCAAGAAAAAAGAGCGAACACCTTTTCAACTACATTTGGATTTCCTTCACTATGTGAGAGTCCACTTTAGATCAGAAAAGAAAACAAATGGGAAAGGCTGAAACTGATCAATAATAAAACATTTTTCTGCAGACAAGAACGATAAATGAACTCATTAAAAGGAATGTAAATTGGCTTTGGTTTCCTCTGCTCATAATGTTTTCTCTCTGAAGCCCAAAATGAAGAGGAAAGGACTGTGCTCGCCGACAATAAATGTCAGTGTGCTCGAGTTACTTCCAGGGTCATCCGCAACCCTGACAACCCTGTGGAGGACATTGTGGAGAGACACATTCGAATTATGTATGTGACCTTCCATGGTTCCTTTCTACTTAGTTTCTGTGAGCAGAGATACTTGTGCTATGAAGCATTGTTTAATGTGATGCCTGTATCTTTATGTTCCTTCCTGATGTTTGACTCCTTACATGTGGTTGAATCTGGTTAATGACCTTAATGCAATCTTTGAGTTGAGGGCAGAAATACAGTGTTTCAGACACCCTAAAAATGGACAGCTAGATCAAATTATAGCTAAATCTTGTGATGTAGTCATCACTGTCCCCTATTTATGTGGAGTAATTTCAGTTCAATCAAAATTTTCAGTTGTCCTCGGTCGGTTCAAACTGAAACTTCAGATAACATTGAGTTCTTATTTTATACCGTTCGTGGTTTGTCTTATACCATGTATTTTACACTACGTTCAGATGAATGGATAAAGTCAAGACAGTCTATAAGACTGACTAATTTGACTTGGTCTTCACATGTATCTTGGACTTGAGCTAGTCCTTTCATTTTTCACATAAGTAGAGTTACATCGTATGTTACTCTTACTCAGCAGCAAGGATACGAATAGTAATTGAGAAATAAGATTTGCACTGGCCCCAGTTACTAATAAATTTCCCTTGTTAAACAATCCTACATTAATAGTTTCCCACCAATCAAATATCTTTTATATGAAGAGAACACAGGATTCCATCTCATTCAGTCAGTGGGATAGGAATAACGTGTTTAAGAATTTTGTTTCAAGTTCTGTTTGGATTACTTGACAGCTATGTGTCCTTATTCTTACAAAGTGTGTGTTTGCAATGCACCATGGTCACATTCATGATGGGAAGTTGGTATATGGACATAGCACATCATCCATTTCCTCTCCCCTGCCTTGGATCTGCTACATTTGCACAAAGATAAGCAAACTGGTTGTCCTCTTTAAACTTCATCATCTTTAAGAAGGGGAAAATACTACCTTATCATAGGGTCACTGTGAGAATACTAATTCCACTTAGAGCCTGTGTGGTTCCTGGCACATGTTAAAATATTTAACTTAATTTATTTTTAATATTTGCTTTTATTTATTCATCTAATCTGTGTGCCACTTATCAGAGTACCACTATCCGACAGTTTGACAACCTTTCAGTGACTTCCCAGTACTGCTCTTAGCATATATGACAAACTCCCAGCTTGCCTACAGAGCTTATCCTAGCTTCTCAGATTACTCACTGAACTTTTATGTATGTTACAGTGTAGCAGTCCTGTCCTGTCCTTGTGTTTCCTCACATTCACACTGCTTCCTTCTTCTTCTGTGTTTATGAGTACTGGTTCTTCTGTTCAGCCTGGATAAGGATTTCCTCCTCTTCAGTTCTGTGACTTAATTGTTGTGTTAACTGGGGTAGGTCATTATTTCCTCTTGTTCATAATTTGAACATCTGTAAAGTGTGGTTAATCATATCTGTCTGACTCTCCATTCTACTAGTATTGAGCATATCCCACATGTCATGTTTCTATCTAGGCACTAGGAATACATAAACATTTTTGCCTCAAAGAGGAAATGGAAAGCAAGAATTCTTTAGACAAATAACTATGATCAGGTGTTTGCTATGATAAATGTAGGTGAGCTTTAAGGAGGCTACATAGGGCACATTTGTGGAGGAGGGTACAGGATGAAGATAATCACAAAGTAAAATGAGTTGGCAGGGTTTGCAGGCCTATCAAAGATCACTGATATGTTGAACGGGAAATACTTAAAGTATAGAAAGTGACTGTTAAAAACTGAGTAATAGTATTATGGTACCTTGGTTCATGAATTTGGTTCTTTCCACAATTCTGATCACAAATTGCGTTGGATGAGACCTGAATTCAGTGGTCAGTGAATTCAATGGTTCAGTGACCATTTGGGGAAGTTTCACTGGTTTCTCATCTAGTTTTTCTTGCAACCAGAATCGTGGCGACAATTGAGTTAGTGAACCAAGGCACTGCTATATTAATGGAGTGCTTAAATGTAAAGAATAGCACTGTTCCAATTAAATAGTACTATTTTAGCAGTATATCTACATCAGAACTAACAATATCCATCCTCTATTGTTTTTCTTTGTTTCTTTTTTTTAGTGTTCCTCTGAACAGCAGAGAGAATATCTCTGATCCCACCTCACCATTGAGAACCAAGTTTGTGTACCATTTGTCTGACCTGTAAGAGACTTTTCTTTCATACTAATAGATATGTGGAAGTTAATACTTGTTAACTAACCTTGTTAGAATGTTTTTGAAAATATATTGGAATATAAACATTGATGAGTATTTGAACTTTTGAATACATTCTTGTGTAATTAGATATTGCAAATGGACGGAACTGGGACAGATTAAAAAGTAGCTATACATTTATTCTAGAAACCAGTGCCACTGATATAGGAAAGGCCTTTTTACATTACTTGCTCAATAAATGTATTTCAACTTTTTTTGGAAATGATAGAGTCCAATATCAGATAGTTCCTAAAAATATTCTTTTCTTGTTACCATAAATAACTCACTTAAACATACTATACAGTTAGAAATAACCCTAATACCATAGAAATTCCTGTGTGGTATGGGTAAGACAATTATTGTCAAAAACATTCATTATATAGCTAACTCTCAACTAATTTTTGTGTACTGAAGAGTGAAAAATCTATAAACCATTCTGCATTATAGAAGTGATGAAGTCCAGGTCAGGGTTATAAGAGCTATTTGATTTTAAATACAAATGTGTAATCACTCAATTTTGATATAGCATTTAATGTGAATTACTAATATGTGCTCTTTGTTTTTCAGCTGTAAAAAATGTGATCCCGTAGAAGTGGAGCTGGATGATCAGGTAGTTACTGCCACACAGAGCAACCTATGTGAGGATGACAGAGAGCCCGAGACTTGCTACACTTACGACCGGAACAAGTGTTACACAAATGTGGTCCCGCTCTCCTATGGTGGCAAGACCAAGCTGGTGACGACAGCCCTGACGCCTGATTCCTGCTACCCCGACTAGCTCAACTCTTTGCTGGATGTGCAGCTGTCTCGAGAGGCTCTCCATTTCATCCAGGAAGTTTGTATTCTCACTGCCGTGAATTTTAAGCCAAACTTTAAAATTTTTGGATAATGCAAGACTAACTTCCCCCTAAAAATTCAGATAGTTTTTACTTATTATTTAATTACTTAGACCTAAAGATCAAGAGTGGTCAATTACCATGCTTATCTGAGGGTTATGCTTCCTTAAGATCATAGTTTTTAACATTTAAAAAAATAAGACAAACAAAGAAAATAAAACTCAAAGTGTAAAAATTGGGAACCATAATTAAATGTCCTTTTTTTTGGCTCTACTTTGTTTTGGAGAGCCAGAGCTGTTGCACAGTCTATGCCATTCTCTTTTTTAAAAAGTTTCACTGTGTAGAGAATATATGTGTAAACATAGGTCAGTTATATTTCTTCATTAGAAAAATGATCATTGGAGAACATGTTTTGGAACTACATATAAAATTAATAAAAATGTAATCTCTAACATTTATGCAACAAATTTGCTGAAAATTATTTAATTAAAAACATAATTGAAAAGATGCATTTTGAAATAATTCACAGTCTTGTCAGCAGAACTTTTCTTTGATAAAGAAATTTTTTCAGTGATCAAGTTAGTATAAGAAATTCCCATTGGAAATCATCTTTGTTGCCACTGAACCTAATGAAATGTTTTGTCTTTAAAAATATGTGTTCTCTAACACAGTTTGAACAATTAAATAGATTTACAAGCATATACCTGTGTAAAATAATTTATTAGAAAAGATTTGTGTTAACTTCGTTTTATTGTTTTTGTGTTAACTTTCTGGGAATTGAACCAGAGCCTTGGACAGGCTAGGCAAACCCTTGACCACTGGGCTATATCTCCATATCCTTAACTTTCATATATATAAATTAAGTATAATTTGTTATTGATGAACAATTTTTAACTATGGTGAAATGATGCATTAGTCACTGAATTCATTCATTTATATACCTGACCATTTTACACCCAAAATTAAATAAAAAGGCAAGATCTTCATGACACATAAATCTTATGGCAGAAAGCCAAGGCCCAGTGACATATATCTAAGGAGACCATGAAAAGTAAATGCTAGGGGCTGGGGGTTTAGCTCAGCGGCATAAGTGCCTGCCTTGCAAGCAGGCAGTCGTGAGTTCAATCCCTGGTACCGATAAAAAGGAAAAAAAAGACAAAAAAAAAAAAAAAAAAAAAAAAAAAGAAAAGTAAATGCTGGCTCTTAAAATAGGAGGGGAACGATAGATCAGAATCAGTTTCCACGAGGTGTTCTTCTGTTTCCTTTTTAAAAATAGCAGTAGCTATTTTTAGTAACCTCTGTGCTTATGATTACGTAGCTTTTCTTTAGGTGTAAGTGTAGCGTCTGGTGTTACACCCTGAGCACCTAGAACAGTATCTGCTGGAGAGAGGTGCTCAATACCTACTACTGAATGATTGAACATGAGTAAAGCTTAGCTGAAGAAACAATACACATGCGCACAAAGAATGATAGTTATTTGGCAGAATTTGATAAAAGCAAAGAAACAGGCTCCAAAGAACAACCGCGCTTGCTTCCATGGATTCCCAGGTTCCGCAGTGCCAGGGCTTTAGAACGACAAATCTCTACTTCCATCTAGTGGTACAGCTATGAAGTGCAGCGAATGCATTGCTAACATGCACGGTTTCGGTTCATCCTTGTTAACACCCCATATAAACAAATACTGTGTTCATTTTACGAATGATAAAATTTGGCGCACACTAATCTCAGCGATCGGGAGGCTAACGCAAGAGGATCACCATGAGTTCAAGGCCAGCCTGAACTACATAAAGAGACCCTGTTTAAAAAAAAAAAGGACAAAACTGAGATGTGAAGAGAGCTAACCTGCTTAAAGTTTTGCTAGTCGATAAGGAGAAGTAATAATTGGGCCCAAGACTGTAAAAGCCGGTTCTCTCATGTTATCATGTGGTGTCTGAACATATCTTCAGACCATCTTCCTCAGTATTTCCACTTCTGAGGAAATAGCCAGAAACACTGACAAAGAAGCATGCAAGCACATATTTATCATGACATTATTTAGGATAGTGAAAATTTATAAGGAGCTACAAGTCCATCATAGATGGAACGTTAATACTGACCTACTTCAGAATATCTTACAGACACAAAAATGAAATTTTAAAATGTTTTTAATTTTATAGAAATTGCTTACACAATGTGAAGAGAAACTGAAAGATACTGTATAATAGAATGACTTTAGGAGCTGGTCATGGCGGGGCACGGCTGCATTTCCAGCCCTTGGGAGGCCGAGGTGGGAGGCTTACCATGAGTTCAAGGCCAGCCTGGGCTAAGAGAGACCCTGTCTCGGGAAGAAAAATCTTTCGTGAGAAAAGACTAGAGAAATAGGCCAAAATATTTTTATTTGTTTCCTTTTACTTTTCAGTATTTTCCAAATATTCTACAGTGCATGTTACAAAACTTATTTTTAAACATTTTAATTAACTATGTTAATTTTTAGGGGACTTTAAGATTTTACCTACTTACACACACATTGAGGAGGAAGCAGTGCTTTCTTAGCCTCTGTTCCCAGCACAGCTCTGCCAGGAGGATGTATGCGAAGAGTGGCGTGACCTTTGGGAAAGGGTCAGTCCTGCTATAGGACAGACGGATGCTTAAATGTCAAAGATGCCCTGTGAGCTGTCCGTCAGCACTGGGACGGTCTTGGAGAAGACCGTATCTGAATAGGGCTCTCCCGATGAGATGAGGTGGAGCGTTTGAGAACGGCGTGAGTGGCAGGCTGGCAGGGAGGAGCCAGGGTGGATGCTGGCGCAGAGGCACCACGCACCTGGCCTCTTTGCTTCTGGGTTGTCTATCAAGTCCTTCGGTCACGTGCCTCATCTCTCCATCCCCTCTCACACCGGAAAACACTGTGTTTAGTGCTCGAGACTGCTCGGTCCCTTCTCCGTAGGCCCAGCACGTTGCTGCCCGCTCTCGGTTCGGCGACTGGTTAAATCTTCGTGGCCTAGGCGCATGTGGATGCCGCAGAGGAGCGGCCGATCCAGATCCACTGAGTTAAACCCTGCATCTTCACAGGATCACACGCACCCTAAAACCTGAGCAGCGAGGCTGCAGAGCAGGTGCAGATGGGCCTCTGCACGGTCTGGTGAAAGAAGGCTGTGGTCGGCGTGGCTTAGCAGGGCAGGGCCCCGGGCCTGGTTAAAAGAGGCGGTGGCCGGTGAGACCTCAGCAAAACATCTTCCTCCCCAACGACCTCACGAAAGGCCTGCCACCCGGTGGCTTACCCTCGAGGACTGCGCATTCATCGTTCAGCATGGGGCTGAGCCAGGGCGCAGCCGCTCGGTCCACAGTGCTGAGCCGGAGACTTTGCGGTGCCCAGGGACGGGGAGGCTCCACGAGCTGCGGGGCTCCAGCCAGGCCGCCTTCCGGGCAGCGAGAGGGGCGCGGCTTTGCAGGCAGCCTCCGCACCTCGCACCTCACCTCGATTCCACCTGTCACACCGAGGCTCAGCTGCCGCCTGGCTTCTTTCGAAGGCTGCTGCTCTGCCCCTAGGGAAGGTTGCTTCTCAGCCGCAGCACTGTGTGTCTGGGTCAAACGGACTTTGGATGGCCAGGGCAGAACAGGGGCCCGCGGCTGCGCTCGGCTTTGGGGAGGGGGAGGCCGGAGCAGCAGGGCACCAGGCCAGCTCGGCGCGGCTCTGCGTGGGCTCCTGCGGCGGGGTCGCCGTGGCGCGGGGCTCCAGGCCAGCGCTGCCGGCTTCCTTTTGGCTCTTTGAACTGAACTTTGGTCTCGTGAGGGGAAGATGAGTCTTTTTTGGTTTTCTCCAGGACCTGAATGCGGGTCGCTGGGCCCACGAGGGGACAGGACCCGAATGGACAGGCGGCGCCTGAGTCGGTGACCCGAAAGACCAGGGAGGGCGTGCAGGGCGGAGCGCGCAGGGAGGCGCTCAGAAGGGGGCGCAGGGAGGCGCTCAGAGGGGGGAGCAGGGGGGCGCTCAGAGGGGGGAGCAGGGGGGCGCTCAGAGGGGGAAGCAGGGGGGCGCTCAGAGGGGGGAGCAGGGGGACACGCAGGGGAGGCGCTCAGAGGGAGGAGCAGGGGGGTGCTCAGAGGGGGGAGCAGGGGGGCGCTCAGGGGGGGGAGCAGGGGGGCGCTCAGAGGGGGGAGCAGGGGGGCGCTCAGAGGGGGGAGCAGGGGGGCGCTCAGAGGGGGGAGCAGGGGGACACGCAGGGGAGGCGCTCAGAGGGGGGAGCAGGGGGCGCGCAGGGAGGCGCCCAGAGGGGGGAGCAGGGGGCGCGCAGGGAGGCGCCCAGAGGGGGGAGCAGGGGGCGCGCAGGGGAGGCGCTGCGAGGGGGTCAGGGGGCCGCGCAGTGGGGACTCAGGGAGGGCGTGCAAGGGCCCGCGCTGGCGGGAAGGGCGACCCCTCAGGAGGGGAATGCGCAGGGGGCCGCCAGGGGCGACGAAGGTGGGGCACAGGGCCGCACAGGGAAGGTGTGCGGGGGGCTGCGCGGGGCGGGTGCGTAGGGGGGGCGCGCAGAGGGACGTCGTGCCGGCTGACGGGAGGCCCGAGCCCCGCAGGGGAGCCTCCGTGCGCGTGTCGCGGGCTCGCGCCGGCAGACGCTGCCGCACCCACGCCCTGCTGCCGCGGCTCCCTCTGCGGGGAGGAAGCCCGGTCCGCGCGGCCGTGCCGCTGCGCCTCCGGAGACCTCGCCGCGCCACGGGGGAGGGGGGCCCGCGGCGCGTGTCCGTGGCCGGCGCGTCCTGCGGGCTTTAGTCCGCCGACACTGTTCTCCGCCTGACTTCCTTTGCAACACACGGTTCCCCACGGGTGGCTCTACACCTGCCCCGTGCGGAAGGCAGCAGGGACGGGCTGGAGCGGGCGCCTCGCACCGGGGCCGTGCGGACCGGGTTCTGACTCAGACCTCGCGGGCCCTGCGCTCATTCCCGCTTCCGTGTGAGGACACCCGCAAGGCGGGAGCGCGATCTCCCATCCCGGGCTGCAGGAACCCGTCTGTGCTCGCCAGGCCCCAGCCGTTTTCTGCGGGGCGCGCTCTCTCTCTCTGTCTCCGTCTTTGTCTCTTTCCTCTATGCATTCACATTCAATAGATTTTTTTTGTCACACTGTGCTTTTCACATTTTACCTTACAGTCTCAGATGATAATGTAAATAGCAGTACCTCAGAGACGCAGATGTGTGAGCTGCCAAAACAACTGTGACTCAAGCATTTTGGTGAAATATAAAGTGAGTATTTTTACTTTTATTCAGTACTTTGTGCTTGCCAGGCAGGTATCGCACCACTGATGGCCCAAAGAGAGTATTTTTTTAATGAAAGTATTTACATTGAGATTTCAAAAAAAATAATTTGAAAAAAATAGCAAAGCATAATGGTGTAGTTTTCTCTCTCTCTCTCTCTCTCTCTCTCTCTCTCTCTCTCTCTCTCTCTCTCTCTCTTTCTCTCTCTCTCCAGCACCTCACCTCACTGTGTAGCCCAGACTGGCCCTGAACTCACAGCAGTCTTCCCACCTCAGCCTCTAAGAACTGTGATGACAAGTGTGGAACCACCACATCTATCCTGAGGGTAATTTTAAAGGGAGTTTTATATAGACGAAATTAATCATTTTTCAGTGTGTGAGTAAAGTGAAAAATTAGTGGGGTGGGTGGGGAGGAATTTAAGCAACCAGTGCATAAATAATCTGCAGTTCTGTGATGCAAATGTTGCCAGACTATGCAGATGCAGATGGTGGTGCTTTATTCTACATCCTGCGTATTTCCCTTCCCCCCACTCCCTCCCCCACAGAAAAGCATACTACAGTACAGTGATTTCATGTGAGGGCTGAAAGCCCATTAAAAAATCAGTCAGCCAATAAATACTTATCGAGTACCTTCTATGGTCAAGGCACTGTGAGATACTTGACAAGATTCAAGGGGAAACTTTCTTTACTCAGGGAGTTTTCAATGTTCTGTTTCCTCAAACTTCTGAGATCTTATGTTTATGAAATCTGTTCAGTGAAATTTTTTCCTAAGAAACTCCTTAAAGTTATAAGATAACTTTCTAGGTAATTTTGAGAATCGCACCCTTCTAGCAAGCAATATCCAGATCATAGGCCCAAATGCCTTTAATAACAGTAAAAATAACAATTCAATTTAGATGCATTCTAAGCAAGGCACTATAGAAATATCTACTTTACAAAATAATTTACACTATTTAATCAAAATACCAAGAAACTGTGTCTGTGAATAATTCTATAAGGACATGAAGAATAAGCATATTAGTTGTAGTATACGCCAGTGGAATCACTTACACTGAACTAGTAAAATTTAACATCGATTGTTTTAAAATGGTGTTTCCCAGACATCCTCTGTAAATTCTGCAGATCCGGAACTGGTGGCCGGTCCAGGTGAGTCCTGCTCTTTTGTTTGGGTGCTCTGCCCAGGGGTTGGTTTCCTCAGTTTTTCATTCCTCACTTCCTAAGCCTTTTTTCTTGAGCTGCTAGTTCTAGAACCTAGTTTTCTTTTTCTTCTCCTGGAGTATGTCCCTCTAACTGATGGCCTACCTGGCAGAGATCATGAAGAAATTAAGAACAAAAGGAGGAGATAGGTGAGTGCTGAAAGCCCATTACAAAATCAGTCTACTGGTTAGTAAATTTATTCTGCAATGGTATTGGGCTGGGCCAAGAGAAAAATCCAGGTAGAATTTAGAGTACATACAAAAAGGGGGAAAACATTGTTTTAAGATATGAAAGTGGTGCAGCAGGAAAAAGAAATCGAAGGGATGAAAAGAGTCTGGGAACAGCGATTAACTGGCAGGTGATACATTAAGAGACAACAGAAACTGGTAGTGGTGGTGCACACCTGTGATCCCAGCACTCTTGAGGCTGAGGCAGAAGGATTGCCATGCTTCCAGGGCTGGCTTAGGCTACACAGTGAGACTTGTTTCAAAAACAAAACAACAAAATAAAAAACACAGCAGAAAAGTAGAACGAAATCAAGTAGGAAAAAAGGAAGACATAATGGAGGATGAAAGACTAATGATAGTTCAAGATAACTAGCTTAGTATGTGGGAAATGATGACAAGAAAGATGAAAAGTGGAAAGCTAAATATAGACTGGATGAGGGAGGAAGAAGAGAAGGAAAAAAGGGAGAAAATGGTAAAGGTAAAGATAGGCAATGAAATAAAAAAATTCTGACAATATGAACGCAGGGAGGAACCCCCCCCCCCCAAAAAAAAACACAAAGAAAAAAATGCACAGTGCATTGGACTCCACTGATGGGTAGATCTCCATCCATAAATGGAGCATTCATTTGCCTTTAATATGTACAAAGCCAGCTAATTTTGCAAGTATGCAACCTTGAGGAAAAGAGGAGGAATCAGCGAACAAAAGGAAGCTAAGCTAGACAAGTGACTTCCAAGATTTAAGGCTGGGTCTGCTTTCTCTGAGGTCTGCACTAATGTGTGACAACACTGGGTCCAGCCACCCCCCCACCCTCAGTCTTGCCCAGTCTCACTAACCACCTGGACCCCTATTCCTACTGCTGGGAGAAGAAAGAAAGATCACTGAGAAGGCTGTGCATTATTTAAGTCTTGGGGAAACCATTTGGGAACCATTGGTATAGAATATATATTTTCCTTTTTCTCAGAATGCTTGAAATAATCCCTAGACCTGAATTAGTAAGCAGTCTTGTATCTGGTCCTGAGGATCAGTCCCTCTTTGAAAAGATTCAAATGGAGTGTGTCCTGCTACACTGAGCTGGTCAGCATTTATACTTCTAAATGGCTCCCCAGTAGCGAACCCAACAAATGTGTTAGGATTTTCAGTAGGCTTAGTTAGATCCCCACCAGATGGGCCTGGTCTTCTACTGCTAGATGGAGTTCCAGTGCTAGAGGAGTGAAGCTGTGTTAGTTGGGAGCCAAAGCATGGTACCTGCAGGATGCTAGGTGGCCTCTGTTGCGGCCTGTCATCCTCCTCTCCTTGCATTTCCTTTTGGATACCTGGGGGCTTGAGGCCTTCATCAAGTGTTCCAATAAAAAGCTGCTCAGGAGTAAGGTTGACAGTTCTTTCGCTGAGATGGTTGCCTTCAAAAATTTGTTCCAGAACGCTGTTCCCATCTCCTCCAAGATCATTACTGAGACAAAGTGTGTTTGACTGAGGGGCACTGGCTTTGGGAAAGGATCTGACTCCCCCTGTGCCCTGCTGGGTCTTTGCAGAGCATGGAGCATTCTTCAGAGAGGACACATTGTCTCTCAAAGTGCTTGGCTTTGTGCTTTCCCCAGGAAGTTTCTTCTCTGAGCTATTCCTCTGGCCAGGCAGGATGCTGGTTGGGGAAACATTCGGTCGTGTGTGCGTGGTGTGACTACTTTCTGTGTAGGTGGGATTGGTGTTGTGATTCTCTCCTGGCGCCAGGCCATAGGATGGGGTGTAGTCTTGCAGGGCCAAGGGATTCTTATGGGGCCCTGCAGCACCCCCAACACAGCAGGAGCTGCTTGGGTTTGGGTGAAATAAATGTGATTTTGTTTGACCTAAGGGATAGCTCTGAGGCATTACATCAGGGAAAGCCAAATGCGATCTCTCTGGTGAATACAACCTGGTCATTTGCATATCATAATTCAGATTCTTGCCTTCCTGCCAGGTTGGGGTTTTCTGGAGCCCAACGTGGGGCTGACTGGGATAGGGATAGTTCTTTCTCTGGTTTGGTGGACCGACTTCATGTAAATTTGTTGCCTGATCCCAGTAGTTTCTGTGAAACTGTGGCTCGCTTTCCTGCTGCCCCTGCACTTGAATCCCCTGATCCCAGGAGTTTGGTGAAGGAAAGAGAGCACTTCCTTCTTGTCGCATGGCGTTATTAACCTGATGACCTCTGTTCTTCCCTGGCGGAGACACTGTGGGACCTGGGCTGTAGGATGGGAAAGTCTCATCAAGGCTCCAAGGATAAAAGTCAGTGTAAGGAGACTCTTCTCTGGGCTTAGATGGGTTATCTAAGGGATAGGGAAGGTATTCCTTTGGTTGATTTGAGGCATACTGCTCACCATCATTGTGCCTTCCCATGGGCCTTTCATTAAAGCTCAACACTTCCTCACCCCACCTACTTAGTCCTGGAAAGGGCCCGTGTCTGGTTGGATCAGATGGGTCCTTTTCATTATACTGGATGGTCTCTTTCTGATCTGTATTCTTCAGAGGATACTGTGGAGTTTTTGCTTGTGTTTTGGGAGAATCAGCTCTCTTCTCCCATGTGTTGCTCCCAGTGTATGGTGAATTTTCCCTGGTGTAAAAGGAGTTATATTTATGGTAGAAAACACTATCTTGAGAGCCCGGGGAAACATGAGGTAAATGTTTGTCCTGCTTTCCAGGATCTTCTTTAAAGGGTGGAGGGATTTCGTGGTGACTCCAAGTATTTCTTCCAGCAGGAAAATGTTCTCTTTTGGGAGAAGGGATTACCTCAGGATAGATGGGCTGGTGTGTACTGTGCTTTAATTCAGGCTGCATAGTTTGTGATTCATATGGAATTCTTTTTGGCTCTAAAGCAACCCTTTTGGGAAAGTTCTGACTTTGGGTTTTTGCATTGGAACTTGGCACTTTTATGACTTCTCCTCTTGGGTAATAGGAATTTTCATATTGATTAACAGAATTAAAATTTGGGCCTAGCATGTTATCCTCTGGATGAGGCCACCCATAATTTGGTTTATTAACTCCAGGATATTGTGAATTTCTCCAGGAGCCTGACATACCCTTTGTAGGATTAATTGTGCTTTCTTTTTGACCTAGGGACTTTTCCTTTGGATTTTGGATCTTTTCATTGCGGCCAATAGTACCTTGTTTGGGACTCATTGGGGTAACATTGGTCCCCACAAAAGGTTTGTTTGGCCCTTGAAGCTTTCTTCTGAAATTTGCTGGGTTTCCTGCATAACTGGGGTAATTGGTTCTGGAAGTGGGAGTGTAAGCTTTGTGATAAGTTGGATTTTTGGGCCCAGCTGCTTGTTTGCCTTCCCAAGCGAAGGAGTTCCCCTGAGCATCCCATTGACCTGGTTGGTTCCGGTAAGAAGGTCCAGGTGGTCTCTGCCCAGTGGCAGTATGTGTGGGATTTGATTGTCTTCCTGAAGGAGAATTTCTGATGTTAGGTTTTGGATAACTTCCATAAATATTGGGCTGATTTGGTTTCCATGGAATTTGACTTCCGGGTATTACTTGGCCTGAAAAATTAACTGTAGGGAGTGGGAAGATCCCATTTTGAACTGTAGGGTTGTTGCCAGTATTCAGCCCAGGAATACTGTTTAGTGTTGGACCGGTGTCATTTTTGCCTTGATTTGTTAGTTGGGTAGAATTAGTCTCAGGAACTGTAGAATTAGCTGAAGGTTCTGATGGTGGATCCTCTGGCTTAGGAGGATCTTCTTCCTTAGGTTTTTCATAATCTTCAAACATCTCTTCTGAATAATAGGGACGACCTCCAAAGCCAGGATATCCAAAAAATCCGAAATAAGGATTCTGTAGGGAAGAAGATGGAAATTCATAATTATTCTTTGTTCCCTACCATGCTGTGCTGCTTGGAATTTTTTTAAAGCAACAGGAAAATCTTATCGACCACATGCTTCTTTTAACACCATTGGCTCTTCTGTCTTGAAATTCAATGCTTCTGTGGTTTTCATGATCTACACCCTTGGTTTTCTCTTTTGGTGTTTTTGACCAATTGGCCTAGATCTTAAATCTGAAGGTTTAAGTTTATTATTTATGTGTATACTTTTTAATTTCTTCCCCTTCGTCTGCCCTCTTCATTTCTGTTCTCACACACCTGCCTTGAACAATCTGTGGCATGTCTATACTTTCTATCTGGACACATGCTAATGATCCAAAAAGGCATAACTCCATCCCATGACACCATCTCCTGAAGCCAAGGCTGCTCCACTGAAGTGCTCACTGGGCTCCTCTCCACCAAAACCCTTCTCCAAAATTTTACATCTAACAACAGTCACCAGTAGCAACTCAGTCACTGCTGACAACCCAGGTTTCCACTTTCTCCCTTATTTCCCTGGACAGTACCCCACTGTGTGAGGTACTAGAAAACTGTGATGAGAACACAATGATTTACTCAAAACTTTCACATAGAAAAATCAAGTGGGTGAATCCCAGGAAAATACGCATCTGAAATCAGTGAGATGTTGTGTCTGAAAGGAGTGTGTGCCGGAGCCCGGTTCTGCCATGGCGTCCGGGCTGGAGAGGTGGCAGCCAGGCTGTCCTGGGGGACGGTCAGGGTGCCCCAGGGGAGAGCGAGCTTGCCGGGGACAGGTGGGTGTGCGGAAGCCTGCACTCTTCTTTACGCCCCTTACTCCTGAGCCGTTGCAGTGGCGTCTTCCCGGATACTGTGTGCTCTTATTTTTCTCTAATTGCACTTTTCTGCGAGCACAAGTTGTGGAGGCTGGGAGTCAGCACATGGGGATTCTCCCACTGTGGCCTTCCAGTGTGTGTTTAAAATCCCCCTCACTTTACAGGATAAATTCTAAACCTTCTAGCACAGCACGGAAAACCAGACAGTGTAGTGCTGAACGGGGCTCTAGGCAGATGTGGATTGAAATGCCTGTTCTTGATTTAGTACCAGGGCTGTGACGGGTGACCAACTGCAGTTTACCTGTTCATTTGTAATGCAGAGATAATAAAATAGTATCAACTGGTAGCTTGTTGCAATGGTCAAATGAGACAGCAAACTGAACGCACAACTCACTTGGAACTTGGTTAATTGCTAATAAGTGTTAATCATTATTATCTATAACTTTCACATTCAGCCTGACCCCCTCCCCCTACATACTTCATGTAGTTGCAAGTTACAGCCACTCACAACTACCTTGAGTACTCTGTTCTCTTTATGGCCTAGTGCCTTTGCTCACGGCTTGCTCACACCCACCTGTCCCTGGCAAGCTCGCTCATCCCTGTGGCACACTGAGTGGCCCCCAGGACAGCCTGGCTGCCACCTCTCCAGCCAGGACACCATGGCAGAACCGGGCTCCGGCACACACTCCTTTCAGACACAACATCTCACTGATTTCAGTTGCTTATTTTCCTGGGATTCACCCACTTGATTTTCCTATGTGAAAGTTTTGAGTAAAAGCATTGTGTTTTCATCACAGTTTTCCAGTACCCCTCACAGTGGGAAATGCTATTTAATCATAAGCTCTGCCTGTGATGTTTTAGACATTTGTAAAGGCATTTAGGTCATTTAGGTTTTTTTTTTTTAACAAATTTAATCTATATAAAAATAGTGCTTTTTAAAATCTCTTTATAGAGAAGATGAAACAGGCAGGTGAGTCTGTGTCTCCAGTGTCCTGCAGGGAATCTGGCACCCTGCCCTGCCACTCCAAAGGATATATGGGGACATGATGCCTGTGTTAACTGCCTGGCTCACTTTGTTCACTTTCTCATGTTTGCAAAAGTGTGAATGACGGTTTCTAGGTTAAGTTCCACACAGTTATGGGAATTGTTTACTTGGGGTTATTTCATAATGATGTTTTTAGAAAACATCTTGCACCATTATTGACAGAGTGATTTTCCAAGTCATTATTTTAAGAGCACACCAATGCCCCATCCCCTGCTAAGTTATTGGTGTCTGTGTTTCACTGAGAATATAGCACGTATGAAAGGAAAAAATGGCGGTAAGTTCTGGGGTAGGGAGACGTGGCACAACTGCTAACATGATTTTTTTGGTGATGTGGTAACTAGAAGTTTTCAGGGTTTTTTTTTTTTTTGGTACCAGGTAATTGAATCCAGAGGCTCATACTGAGTTGTAGCCCGAGCCCTTTTTATTTTTGTTTTGAGACAAAACAAAATCTCACAGGTTGCTTAGGCTGTCCTCAAACTTGCTGTTCTCTTGCTCAGCCTCCTGAGTAGCTGGATTATAGGCATGCACCAAAAGGCCAGACGCAGTACTAGAATTAATTAATGAGATAATTAATTACTAATGTTTGTTGAGGGTTTCACTATGTAATTCTGACTGGCTTTAGCTGTGTAGCCCAGGCTGGATTTGAACTTTTGGTGATCCTGCTGTCTCTGTCTCTTGATCGATAGGATATACGGGTGAGCTCCATCATGCCTAGCTTCAGTGCTAGGATATTTTAAGTGTGTGTCACTCTGATATATATTTGATTGTTTCTTCATGTGATGTAGTAAAAAGCCATTAGGCTAGGTATCAAGAAAACTGGGCTCTGGGTCCATTTTATCCATTAACTTACTAGGTGAAATTGAAGAGTATTTCATCTTCTATAGGCTCCAGTTTATATGTACAATAAACAAATTAGATGTTTTTAAAATTCCCTTTTGAGGTTAACATTCAGAGATGCACTTAACTCACTTCTCTGCTTATCACTGTCTAAAGTCTTAGCTAGCATGTGAGAGTCATGTTTCTGTCCTTGTGGAGGAGAAGCGATGAATCACTGGTTTGATTTGTTTCACTTTTTTTTTTTAAGACAGGTGCTTGAGCTTCGGAAAGTTCATGTGTTGGTTTTTGACTTTCCTATTAGATGTTGGTCAAAAAGCAGAGGCTACTAATGGTTATTCCTTGTGGGAAATGTAGCTTTGCTGTGCTTACCCCTCCGTCTTCATTGCTGAGTGGTGGGCGTCCATAACCTGGGGGCGGCATCCTCTGGAAGGTGAAAGACACAATGAACACAAGAGAAAACTGCTCTCCACCTGCCATTTGTTTGTAAGACTGAGGGTGCATTAGATTAACCCGAGTTAGAAACTGGGTGTTAATACTCTGAGCCTTTAGCTTCTCTAGTCATTAGCTCTCACTTTCTAACTATTAAGAGTTATGAGCTCTCAGAGATTACTGGTAAATATAAACACTTCAGCTGGTTCCTAGATTGTCCTTCGCAACATGCCCTGAGTGGCTGGATCTCTTATTTGGCAGGCATAGCACCTTTACCATTCCCACCACAGAAAGGGGAGAAAGTTAGAGGGGAGGGGAGGGTACGGGGCAGGGGGAGGGAAGACATAGAGTGATTTGAGTGACATTAATGTCCAAACATCCATAATAGAATATCTAATAATAGAGATTAAATAATTGTTGTTATTTTTCGAATGCTCGCTTCAGGTATGAGGTCAGTCTTCCTAATCAAATTTGAAAAGTGAGTTTCTGCTCAGGAACTGTTACAGAGTGGGAGGATTTAGAAAATCAGTTTGATTTCTATGGGCATTCTTTTTTAAAAGTCATCTTTAAAAATTATTATTAAAGCACATTCATTGTATTGATGGGTTTCACCATAACCTTTCCGTCCACGCGTACACTGGTGGTGTGCTTCTGTGGTACCTGTCTTCTGGTTCCCCTGCATGAACGCTCTTCGCTCCCTCTCTCCTCTAGCTTCCTTTCACCTTTCTCTTGTAGTCCCTCTACTGCATTCAGGTCATCTTTTAAAATGTTATTTTATTCTAGCTTTCACATGTAAGACAAAAATGTAATACTTGTCTTTCTGGATTTGAATTATTTTACTTAACATTCCACACCTCTAGATACACTTGCCTGCAAATGACATTTTGTTCTTTATGGCTGAATAGTGCCACATTCTGTTTAGATGCTGTATTTTATCTGTTCATCTGTGGACAGGCACTAGGCTGATTCTACCATGTGGCAGCAGGTACCAGTGCTGCAGTAGAAACGGCATGCTGGCGTTTCTTAGGAATGCTGACTCCGTCCCTCCAGGTGTGTATCCAGGAGTGTACACTGGACCACGTGGAAGCTCTACCTGTTGGTTCTCAAGGATGCTCCATACTGTTTTCTCTGGTATTGCTACTGTGTTATTTACATTCACACCAACAATGAATGAAGAGTCTCTTTTCTCTATATTATCAGCAGAATTCTTTCTTTTTTTGTTTTCCATAATAGCCATTTCAAGTGGAGTGAGGATAAAGTCTCATTGTAGTTTTGATTTGCATTTTCTTGCAGCTGAAGACATTGAGTGGTTTTTTTAATGTATATTTATTGGTCACGTGAGCTTCTTTTCTGGAGAAGTATTGCTCAGATTATTTGTCTCTTTCTGGATTGGGTGGTTCTTTTGTTGTTAAGTTTTTTGATATATATACATACATATATATTACTATAAATTTTTAAGAAATTCTGTGAAGATGAGACTCATGTTACTCTGGCATGAGAGTCAGGCTGCTTTTAAAGTCTTTATCCACCTTAGTTTCCTTAACTCAGTATGGCCATGAAAGGAAGTCACTCTTTTAAGGAAAAAAGCGCTAAGGAACTCGTACTCTTTGAAATTTATTGTTCCTTGTTAGTAGGAAGCCCTCTTTGTTCTAGAGTTGTAGACAAGAATAACCTATATTAAGACTGAACAAACAGTTGTCAATTATTTCTTGATGTTGTTTCAGTTTTTTGTAATAGACCACAACTGGCCTTTGCTATTTCTTTAGTTCAGATAGTTTGTCACTTTTTAAAAATGCTTATAAAACTATTTCAATATTGTTTTATTTTAATAGTTCTAAACTGAGAATTCTTTGAGAATTCTTTTATGAGTATTATTTTGCAAGATTATAATGATATATCTGTGGTTATAAATAAGACATCATGGAAAGGTCTTGGTCTAATCATATTTGACTTTATGGTTCTCAAAGTCCATTTTGTTTCAGTTTTCCCATTATACTGAATGAGAATGAGTGTTGTACCCATAATCTATCAAGGAAGTGGAGGGATAGTAATAAAGTAGCACAACCCTTTTACATTAATTTATCAATAAGGTTTGAGTAGCTGTTAGGTGGTTCAGCTGGTTTCCATGCCATGGGTTAGTCTGAGTGGGAAATGCAGTGAGAAAATCTTCATTTTCTGGCTGATCGCTGCTGTGATGCATTTGTTTCCTACTCTCATGATTGGGGTAGCGCGTTTCACTACAGTGTGCAAACGTCTGTTAACTTAAGGTATAATACAATAAAATAATTTTTTATTGCTAGTATGAAATAAAAACTTCTTACCTGTGGAATTGGCCATGGTGGTTGTTGAAAGGGGAATAATCCATTGTTGAATGGTGGGAATGGCTAGAGAGAAAGAATTAGAGTTACATGAAAATGAGAAAAATAAATGCAACATGAAATGAACTGAACATAGTTATATGAAACTTGGTCTATATTTCCTTCTGCACTGAGTTCTCCTCTATGTGTGTGTGCTTTAAAGGCAGAGATGGTAATAATAATTACTATTATTGGACAGTTTTTCCAAGTACTGCATTGAGTATTTTCTGTTAAGTTAACAGAGTCCTCAGATAAGAATGAAAGATACGTTCTATTATTATTCTCATTTTACTCTTGACTCTGAGGGTTAGAGAAGTTATCACTTGCTCAAAATCTCATGCTTTGGGAGTGACTGAAATCAGGGTTCAAATCCAGGAGTATCTTTTTATTGATTTTGTATTCCCTGTACCTGTCATTGCATGTGATGATAAATGACCAAATCACAGCTTCATACAGGTGAGGCGAGGTCTTGAGAGACCATCTGTGCATCTTGCTTTACATCAGGACTACACTTCTGTCATCCTGAAGTGCTAGGAACAATGCTGATTTTAGAACACCTGTTTAAACTGTCAAAATAGAGATCTCTGTTGCCATTTTGTTAGTGGGGATATTATTGTCCAGAAAGGTGAAGTGACTTGTCCACCACCGTAAACTGATAAGGCCAGGGATAGTACCTAAGCCTTTCTTTTTTCTTTTTTTCTTTTTCTTTTCAATTTTTTTGTTTTTTGAGACAGGGTCTCGCTATGCAGTTCAGGCTGACCATGAACTCACTCTGTAGCCGAGGCTGGCCTCTAACTTGTGGCAGTCCTCCTGCCTCAGACCCAAGTGCTGGGATACAGATGTGTGCCACTATGCCCAGTGAGACTTTGTTTCTTGACTTTTACACTTACTGTCGCTTTGTTGTAATGTATTGGCTCCACATTTTAAAAATACTTTTTCTTATGTATGTGTGGTACTGAGGGATTGAACGTAGAGCCTTCACACTGTGCCACATCTCCAACCCTTTATAAAGATTTATTTTGAGATAGTGTCTCCCGAAATCTTAGTCGCTCGAGCTGGGATCAAACTTGCAATCCTTCTGCTTCAGCGCTGAGAGTCCTGGGCATGCACCCCCATGCCCAGTAAAGATCTTCTTTACAAGGATACTTAGGTAGGACCTTGCACTTACCAGGCAGGTACTTTGTCACTGAGCTATATCCCTGGTCCCTATTTAGGTAATATTTAGCCGAAAAAAGCTAGCCTCAACTTGCCAGGCTATTTTGGATAAATGTCAGAACTAAACTAAATACGGTGCTCCCACATGGGCCTGCCTGCCCTGCATGTAGCAGGAAGCCTGTGTGCGGAGACTCGGGCCCCCACAATGCTTTTCAGCTTTTGCATGATTCCGATTTGGGATTCCCCACAGGCCTCACCTGTGGCGGCTGGGCATCTGCCTTGTCCTTGGGCGGGTTTTCTGGTGGCTGATTGGAAGGCTGCTTTTCTGGTGGTTTCTGGGGCTGAGTCTGGTTGGGCTTCTGAGTCTCCTGGTTTTGATCCGTCTTGGTCTGGTGTTGGGGTACTGGGGGGTTCTGCCACCCACTGGGTAGTGGATGGGGCCACATGGGGGGCATTGGGTACTGTGGGTAAGGCGGAGGAATTTGGTAACCATTTCCGTAAGGGCCCATAGGGCCCATAGGTGCCATCTGAAAAAGCAGCAGAAACAGTGACATTGCCTTGGGGCTGAGCTGCAGACTCCCATTCTGTAAACCCAGCCAGGAGACTTAAAAATTCTGTGGCCTTGACTTAGCAACAGTGTTGTCATGCTAAAATGAACTTCCATCTTCTAGAAAACCGACCTAACTGAAAGGCACAATTCAGTAAGAAAGGTCAGTTTAAGAATTTGACGATTTCTAACTCTGGAATCTTACTCAAGTAAAAAGTGTATTAGGTAAGTCACAGGGAATTTGATGTCAGGTTCAAAACATGTGACTTGTTACCAAGCTGATTAAAGAGAAGAAAAAACAGAAAGAAGGTAAAGAATGCAAGACTGTGAAGCAAAATAGAAATCAAAGCAAAACAAAACAGAACAAAAAACGAAAACAGGTAAAGAGAAAGAGTAAACATTGCTTGTCTATACACCCTTACAATGTTCCTGTGCTTCTTGGCTACAGGTGGATCCTCCTTAATTGTGCTTTTGTTATTAGGATCTCCACAGTTGCAAAGCTGAACAGAATAACAAAAGCAGTTCTGATTTGAAAATTTATGAATTGACATCAGAGTAACAATGTCAGTATACATGGAAACATTTCCTCTGAGGTTTAATGCCAGTCTATCTCTAATTTTCATTAATTAGTCTATTTATTGGATGATTACTCATGGTATAGTGTAGTGCAAAAGCTGTGAGAATTAAGATTCAGGATATTATGAAAATGAAGTTGGTGAAAAGGTTGACCCATTATCAAAGGCATCAAAAGCAAGAGGAGGGTCTGAGAAAATTGGGCCACAGAAGTTGAGGAAGAGAATATTGAAAATAATGATTTTAGGTGAGAGTCTTCAAGTCAGGATGGCTTTATTCAGATGGAAAATATTAAGAGTAAATTGCTGAAACCTCCCCCTTTCCCTAAAGGCTGTAAAGTTTTGAAAAACTATACCCAAAGAGCCAGCTGACATCTGAATAACCAACAATTTCAGTGTCACCTTTCAAAGTAATAAATAAATTTACCTCCTTAATAGTATTTACTATGCTATTTTTGTGGCTGTTACTTATGCTATTTTTGTTGTCTTCTGTAATCTTTTCCCAAAATCAGTTTTCCTTGGGTATAAATAATCCTTGTAATTAATAAATGATTTTGACTTATAGGAGAGAATACTAGTAATTAAAAAGGAGAAAATTTGGTGTAAAGGGACAAGTAAAGCGATTTTCTGTTCTTGAACCTTTCATAATGATTATAATATAGTTTAGACACCTGAGTAGCTACTGGCTACTGTCTCTGTTACCTAAGGCAAACATTACAGTGTAGCTCGCTGGATGTAAACAAGAAATCATCAGAAATATTATAAAGAAGAACTTACAGGTGGGGGATGCATATAGTTGAACTGGCCATAGCGCATCATCTGCAATGAGAGGAATTCATTAATGTGACCTACAGTGAAAGCTTTCTCAGTTGACAGGTGATCAGGAATAAAATTGAATTTCCGGCTTGAAGGTAGGCAGTCATAATGTCTTTCAGTAGGTATACATGAGTTTATAATGAGTATGCCTTTAAAAATTTCAGGGTCTTTTTAAGTCAGAATTTTAGTTTGAGAAGAATCAACATAGAATAATCAAAAAAATCAAGTCTATTTGAAGTTTTGAATATTCTGTTCTATTTATTTGGTGCTCATGATTTGAGAGCAAGATGACTCTACGATGGTTCTTTCAGAGGTGTGTTGGATTTGGCTAGTGATCCTTGTATGTATAAAACAGATCTGGGTGTTTAAGCATCTACTTTTAAACGCTTGGGACAAGTGATTAGTTTTGCTACCTAACAAACATCCAAGAAGCTACTATCGACTCAGTTTAAGATAAACCCTTTTATGAAGAGCAGTACTGAGGCACACAGGTAGGACTATGTCAAGAGAAATTACTACTTTACCTCAGTTAGAACTTTCACATCTTCCTACTTTTTTTTTTTTGGTCTTTTTCCTTTTTATTGGTACCGGGGATCGAACTGACGACTGCCTGCTTTACAAGGCAGGCGCTTATGCCGCTGAGCTAAATCCCCAGCCCCTCATCTTCCTACTTTTACTTCTTCTTTTATTAAAAGTTTGATATTAGCAGAAATTTTGTCAGTATACTCATCTTTCATGAACTTCTACTAAAGGATGGGCTCTGGAAAATCTTTCCCCGATGCTGAGCATACATACCTCCTCACTTTTGCTGCTAAATCCAGGCATTCGGGGCATGTACATCTGGAACTGAGAGCACAGAGACACATGAGGGCCTCAGCTGAAACAAACCCCACTCGTTCTCAGGCTGTGCAGCAACACTGCACCAAGGAAATGGCTAGGAATACTCACTGGCATGGCAGCAGAATTACCAAGCAGACCTAGGAATACCAAGAGCATCTTCATTTTTCCATTTGGTACCTAGAATACAAACCAAATGTTGTTTTTGGACCAAGAGAGAACTGTGCTTAGGGCCCACTGCAGTTATTTAGGTCCTAGCCTGCCCACCGGTGTAGGAGAGTACAGGTATGCAGGGTGGCCACTGCCATATTCAGTGTCAAGGTACTATGAGTTATTACCCGGTACTGTCCTGAGCTGGCTGAGGAGTCAGATTAAAAAGGAACGATGAGAGAGGGAAGGAGGGAGGGGAGAGAGAGAGAGAGAGGTGATGTGGAAATTAGAAATTATGAGGTCATCTGAAAAACATTTATGGCTTTGCATTTCTAGGTGACAAGTTAGTTTACAAAGTCAGAAATATGTAGCTGCACATTCCAAAATTAGGAATTTATGCTACATTTTAAGATTTTAAAGATATGGCATTACAGAAGAATTAACATATTCTAATCAGATGAAAAATTTCTGTTTTTCCTTCTTTTATTCCTTTTTCTGTGTAATTATTGTTATTATTTTACCTTTAAAAACCACTACTACTCAAGGGCTGGTTAGGACAATAAAAAGAAATGCCAATAAATGTAAATATATTTCTTTGGTAGCGAAATGACAGCTAAAACAAGTGTGTGTAATATACGTTACAGTAGCACAAGGAAGCTAGCAAATAGCATGCCGCTGTCGGTTCACTCTTCGTATTATTCCTAAGATAATGAGTTGAGGTTTTGAGGAACTTTGGATGTTTACTTTCTCTCCTGATTATTCATCAACTACTTCTCTGTTGTAGCCATCATGCCCATTCTTGATAATTTTGTATCCTCATGAGAGATGTGACTTTTTATTTTGCAAACACTCATTATCAAGTGCCACTTATTTTCTTTTATAATATTAGTTTATTATCTTACATGATTTTTAAGATTCCTTCTACCTCTAAAAGTTCATGACTGGATAAAAGTTTCTGATTGTTTTTAGAATTGAAAATAGCCTTCAATGATTGCTATGAAGTACAAAGACTATATAAATTCTGTGGTTCTTCTTACATATTAAAAAGTGCTTTATCCACTCAACTATACTTCTTACAGCATTTAGTTTAATAGGTTAGATTCTGAAAACTAAATGAGAATACTCACCAAGTTATACAGTTTAGGAAAAGAGGCCCCCTTTCTGCAGTGAAGCAGTCGCATTTTTTCACTGAAACTTTCATAAGCCTTTGGGAAGAAATAAAGATTTAGCACAAGAGGTTTAAATGCAAGTAATCAGACAAGTAAATGGAACAAACAGAGAGGCATCACCACTGAGGTGGTGCATCGCGTTGGTTGTTATATCTGATCATACCTTTATTCGACGGTCCTCAACATCAAAATTAATCTTCCTTGTTTTAAGATTAAGATGAAAGCTAAATCAGAGAGAAAATGACATAGGAGTTGTATTTTGAGATACTTCTAGTGCAATGTTGGCAAAACTTCACATTTTTATGGAGAAATATGCAAAGCTACAATATTAAAGGAAGCTTAATAGTTTGCAAGAAAACCTATTAGAAAAACAAACATGCTAAATAAACCAAGAATTTAAACTTTTATCAAGTTAGTATACTAAATAATTACACAACCAAAATTAAGGAATATAATAAGGAAGTCAGTCAATATCTACAAATTAAGTTCATTATTTGGTACCCTGTATTTTATGTTAATAATTTCTAATACTCACCCAGTGCTGGTTAGAAGCTGCAAGATATAAAAAATGAATTTTTACTTCAACTTTGTTAATGTGTCTTTGAAATAGATTCGCAGTGGTCTGTAGTGGAAACAACTACAAATTGCTGAAGTCAGGGAGAGCCAAGAGCAAGACACATTTATTTCTTAATAACAAGACAAAAATTCTTCGTGAAGATGTGATATTGAGTCCCAAAAAGGCATAAAATAAAAAGATTCCTCCTTGTCAGAACCCTTGGCATAGCAAGATCACATTTAAGCACTGTTGTAGACATGTACAACCAATCAGCTTTGAGGGAGATGGCTTTGCCATCACAAGAGTTTAAGGTAAACACACTCACACAGGAAGATTCAATGTAAAATTTATGATGTGTTATTACAGGAGCTGTCAAATCAAGTCTCTTATTATGTGTAATAACAGTTTGGGAAAATGAGCTTACAGCAGTAAGATTTAAAAGATGCTTTCCTTGTAAATTTGGGTTTTGAAGTACAGAGAGTTCATTTATACGAATATATTTTGGGAACAAAGGTGGATATTAACTACATACTACTGTCATAAATCATTGACATTCATCAAAAGATAGAACAATATATTTAATTTAACTTATGTAGTTAATATATTAATATGTAATTAAAGTAAACAAACATTATAGGTACGATCAATTCAGTGACTTGATTTGGTTTATATTATATGAAGCCAGTAGGATATAGGACCCTTTAGAAGTCAAATATAATTCACTTACTTGGAATTTAGAATTTTGGAAAACCTAGGTAAAATGGCAAGTAAATTTTCTGCTACTCATGGTAGTATAATCTCATGAGAGCAGGAGAGGAGAAATTCACTCCAGGGGATTAGATTACAGATTTTTTTCTGCAATTTGACTTTTCATTGCAGAGATTTTACTTCTAAATGAATCCAGCTGTGCTCTTCACTGACATGAGCAAGCTTTGTTGTCTTCACTGATGCTGGGTTTTTCTGTTCTCTTACGGCTCCATAAGAGGAGACAGTTCTTGCCTACTTGAATGCTGGCATTGAAACACTGACAGTGGTTGAATGAGTTCTACTTAGTGTGATTCTGTACAGAAATCTCTCCAGTGGTTGCATGTTGCATGCGAAGATCTATGTCTTTCATCTTGGGCCAAATAGCACTGTATTCATTAGCTCCTTTTCCCAAATTTTAGTGCCAGAAAGAATAAAATTTACTAGAATAATTATTTTTAAATTAAGCTAAAATATTTTAAAAGTGTGTTTCCAAACATATGAAAAAGTATGTCTGTTTCAACCTTTGACTGCCTTTGTCTTACTTTGTAGAGGTTAAATGCCGCTTGTAATACCGTGTGTGCCCTGAGATGACCTTGCCAGCGACGGGGAATCTGGAGAGGATGGTGTGCGCGTGAGGTGAAGCGAGGCTTGTGCGGATGACACAGTGTCTGTGCCGTGCACACAGCGTGGGTTTTTGTTCTTGGTTTTAGCATGCGTAGCGGATAGGGAGCTGCCACTAAATCTGACTTTTGGTTGCTTTTTCTACTTCTCTTTGTTCTTTCTGCCACAAAAGTGGTTGGTGGTCACAAAATAAACTATGTTTCTAAAATCCAGGCAACATGTTCCAACGAGTGATGGATTGGGAAATGGACTAGATTAAGAAAATAAGCCCAATTTTTTTTCCTTTAAAGAAAAAAACTACAGAAGTACCAACTTTATAAAATGTTTTGAAGCCAGATTTCTGTGACTTTTCTCCATTTATTCTGATCATTACATCTCATTTTATAAATTCTTTTCCTCTCCAGTTACTTCTCCATTTATGAACATGTTTTATAATTTGACTTTGCAATTTTTTAAAGTGTATTTCTTTGTTGCTTTTCCTTTGTTAACCTTCTCATTCATAAACAGGCTTTTGAACTTGGGTTCTGTGAACTCAAGACATTTTATATAAGAATTTGGGCATTGTGTCCCCTCTCCCTTTGCCCTGGCCTGAAATAAAACATATTTTTAAGGGTCTGTGACCCCTCTACTTCTCTTTGCTTCGAATGTTAAGATCCTCTTATTGACCTAGATTTTAAGTTATTAGAAGCAGTATTATTTCTCCTTGTTAGATATGGTACAAGCCTAGGTTTTGAGCTACCAGATCTGAGTTTACATTTCCACAAATTATCCAGCTGTCCAATTTAATGTTCAGTAAACTGAAGGTAATATAATTTGTTCCTGATGCTCTTCTGATGAAATATATGTAAAATGGCTGACACTTAGTAGATAACTGTCAGTAACTAATTGATCAATACATCGAGGTACTTTTATTGTTTTACTGTTTATGTATTTTGATACAGAGGGGTTGAACTCAGACCCTTCACACTGAGCTATATCCCCAGGCTGGTGCAAACTTTTGTTGATGCCTCTATCTGAGCCTCCCGTAGTGCTGGGATTACCATAAGGGTGCTTTTATAGTTCAACATTATTTCATATGAAGTTCACTAATCATCCAACAGTAATGAATAAAATCATAGTTGTCAGAGAAAATAGGTCCTCTTCTGAGTGAGGCTTTTGAGCTTTTTGAGCTGTACATTATTACAAGTATAGCACTCTAACACCACAGGAGAATCTGCTTACAATTTTCTTTCCTTTTGGGGGGGAGGAGGGGTACTGGGGGGGTCAAACTCACGACCTTGTGCTTGCCTGGCAGGTGTTGTGCCGCTAAGTTATATTCCCAGGCCTCAAATGAAGAATCTGAGATGAGGTGGTCCTCCGGCCTCCATGGTGGAGCTGAATAGTGTCTCAGCATCCTGGCTTCTCTAAGAGCATTCCTGCAGCGTATTCTCATCCTCTGAATGTGGGAACCTCCTCTACTAAAAAGCCCAGGAAGCAGTTTAATGGCTCATGGAGAAAGTGATTAATAATGCTGTCTAACAGTTCTTGACTGCTCTCCATGTGCAAACAAAGCCTGGCTTCACAGCCCACCCACCCTGCCCAGGCCGTTAGGACAGAAAACTTTCTGAGTTAGCACTCTGATGTTCACAACTTACTTGTTTTACAATTTTGGTCAAGTGATTTAGTCTCTCTAAACCTCAGTTTATAAAATGGGGAGCAAAAATAGTATACTTTTTGTGGATTTGTTGAAAATTCAATGTGGCAATTCTTTTAAGGTTCTAAGTGTTATGTATAAATAAATAGGTTAATCATTGACCACTGACACATTTTCTAAAGATTTTTGAGGAATGTTTATTTTCATTGTGCTTATTTAGACATTAAGACAGAACAAACAAACAAAAAACCTCCAAAAGCACAACTAAGCATCTATGTAAACAGAATAGAGCAGAAGAAACTAAGTTATAAAGTTTATCTGATTTTGCCAAATTTAAATCTGGCATTTGGTCTGCAGGTAGGAAAGCAACTCAGTCAAGACGGAGTGTAGAGGTGGTGGGCGATCGTCTGGGTCACCTGCAAGATGAGTTTACATCTTCAAGCTCTGAGCCATCAGGACTGTCTTACGTATCTTAAAGGTCAGCGGTCAAAAGTCTGGAATCAAGTAGGACTTTCTTGTTCTTGTTCTTTGGCTTCTCTCTTTTTCTTCTTTTTTTTGAGAAAGGCTTTCACTATGCAGTTCAGGCTGCCTTGAACTCAGACTCACAGCAATCCTTCAGCCTCAGCCTCCTAAGTACTGGGATTTTAAGTGTGTGCTACCACACTAGGCAGCCTTTGCTCTGCTTAAGTAGAAAATGTAACCTGGTGACTAAGAACACTGGCCTTGGGGCTGAAAGTATTGTGTGCGGTGGCATTTGACTCAGTGTTTCTTATCAGTTTCTTACTGGTTTTTGTTTTTCTTCTTAAACTTCATGTAAACGGTTATAAAGTCAGCTCATTGTGGAAGTAATATCTTATACTTGATCATATTTAAAAATAATTTTGTTACAGTTTATTTTTTATTTTAAAAGAAGTATGTGACATACTGTTTTTTTTTTTTTTTTTTATTTCTGTGATTGCCAGGAAAGACAAGGATAGATTTGATGTTTAAGTAACAGTGGACGCAGGTTATGTGAAACCTAAACAAATAAAAAGGGATCTTTTTAAGAAAAAGAATATGCTGGGATTGGTTTCACATGTGTAATCCTGTACTCTGACAGGCTGAAGCAGGATGACTGCAAGTCCAAGCCCAGCCTGAGCAACTTAGCCAGACCCTGTCTCAAAATAAAAAATAAAATTACGAAAGAACTTGAGTTCAGTCCTCAGTACTGCAAACACAGAGCAAAGCAAAACAAACAAAAATAAAATAACAAAAATTAAGTACAAAATGCATTAAATACAAAAGCAAATAATTATTTGGATTTGATGAGAAAAGAAATTTCAGATTTTAAAAGGTGACAAGTAATAGGAACACCATGATATTCAGAAAAACAACTTGCTATGTTTTCTATTATTTGATGCATTTTTATTTTCTGTGTACTACCTGTATATTTCTAGTAGCATTTGCCAAAGGCACATTTAGATCAAAACATGATCTTTTGATCCTATATCTTTGGATTACCTGCAAATTAATACCTACTGAGAATTAGACGAGGGAGGTAGGAATATTCCTAAAGGCCATTCTTACATTAGCAATGATTTAATTATGTACAGAATTGACTGGGAATTACATGAGTAATATTCTATTAAACCCAAATTACATATCTCCCTATGTCCGCTTCCTTAAAATGCCCCTGGCTTTTCCAATATCACATGACTTAAGCATTGCGGAAGGAACGCTGGACAGCAGTCTCAGCCAGTGTGGATGCTCGTGGTTATGCGGTGCAAGCTGTTGCCTGAGCCCTTCTTTGGCGTTCAAAGGGCCTGGGGTACATCAGTTTCAGGTGACTCTGCCTCAGACCCCATACTGAATCTGCCCATGAACTTATTTCTGCTTGTGCTTGATTTGTAATTTTATTAACCTTGTTCTCTTTTGTTGCTGTGAACTATCTTTAAAAAAGGAAAAAAAAAACGTTTTGTAGAGATATAGATATAAACAATTTAATTAATACACTAAAATAGCAACAGTAAACCCTGCCTAAATATTATTCTCTTACAGTGAAGCATCTTGGGCTATATAATGTTCACAGCTTCATTCACTCTGTGCTAGAACTGTACTTTAAATAAGTGCTGTAGGTGACTTATTTAGTATACACAAAGCCCCACGAGTTAGGTGCTATAATCGCCAGCCACCACTTTACTGTTGAAAATATGGAATCTTAACAAAGTTTAATCATTTGCTCAAGGGTAGGTGGTGAAATGGAGATTTGAATTCAGGTCCACTAGTGGTTAGCCATGGCACTGTACACACCATAGATGAATGCACAGTGTGTCTTTTTAACTGTTAATCAGGACACAAGAACAAGAGTTCTGTGAAAACCTTTTCTATAAAAGTGAAGGGGAGTTGGACTTAAGTGAAATGGGTTTGTAAAATTTCACTGCCAAATGCTGACACAGATTAAGATTGTTTTTAGAAGTCCAGTTGCATAGAAAATGGACAGAGTTTCTTGTCTTGAAAACAGAATAATGTACTCTTGGTATTGGAAATCCAGCACATGTCAGGCAGGATGAATCAACTATAAGCAGTTGAAGCAGACTCCATAATTGAGCGAGCTGAAGCTATCTGAGCTTGTTACATCACTCCCTGCCAGACACCGTCTAATCACTTTTTCAGAGGTCTCAGTGCCCACACGGACATGCGGCACTGGCATCTAGGTCATACCCCCGTTTCAGGCCGTGCATGCCTGGAGCAGCTTCTGTTCATGACCTGCATGCTCTCTGGGTTGAGTTCTTCTTCCTGCTGGCCGTCACCCACTGTTGTCCACTCATTGACAGAGTACGTTTTATTTTCGTCGCAACTGTATGCAGGAGGTGTTTAACATTTGTGGAAAGGCTTTGTGTGATTATGTGAGAAACACAGGCTTAGGAAGCAGAACATGGATTCACATCCATTTTCCACTGGCGAATGCTTCCCTCAGGGGCAGGCAGACCCCAATGCAAGAAAAAGAGCTGGCCAGGGTGCTGGGGTCAGCATGGGGGCTGAGGTCTGCAGCAGGCTCCTGTGTCTAGATGGAGGTCCATCTTGGCTTCTCAGTCTGCTCCTGAGGACAAGATTGCGCTGGACCCACCAACAGTTCAATACTTTCTCTAAATCCAAGAAAGTGAACATAGTGCAATTTAGCATTAAAAAAATAATTAACTGGAAAAGACTAGGTCTCTAAAAATGGCAGTTCAGGCTAGAGTTGAACTCAGTGTGTAGCCCAGACTGGCCTTGAACTCACAGTGGTCCTATCGTCTCAGCCTCCCAGGTGCTGGGATTATCTGCATGCACCACCGTGCCCGGCTGGACATCTTTCTTTCTGTCTTTCTTTGTCAGTTTTCCTGTCTGTCTGTCTTTCTTTCTTTCTCTCCTCCTCTTCCTCCTTCTAATGTATTTTTGTCTTAGATTTTCCCTTATTGTAAAACTTTCTGAAGAGAGCAGGAACTAAAAAGAGAGAATACAGAAAACATTCACTTTTTTTTTTGATACCAGGGATCAAACTCACACTTGTCAGGCAGGTGTGTGTGTCTCTGAGCTATATCCCCAGCCCAGAACATACACTTGTAGTTTTAAAGAATTCATTTCTATATAAGTAGAAGACTCCACCATGAAGAAATCTCTACAAATCATAGAAACTTAAGTCTGAAGAGAACTTGAGGCCTTGAGCCGTGGGGTTATTAGCACTCTCAGGTCAGTGGTCAGCTCTGCCCTCTGGATGGGGTGGGTCCAGCACTCTCTAGCGCTGTGGGACTCACTGTTGCCCTGGAAGTCTGTTTCCTGCCCCTCTTGAGTTTCCCCTCTAGCCAGCAGCTAGTGGTTCTTCTGAACATGAGTCAGCCAGGCGCCCCTCCAAGGCTCATCCCGTGGGCTCTGAAGTCAGTCGCTGCAGTCTCCTTGGGGTGCTGTGCGGGCTCCCACCTGTGTTATCCCGCTGCAGCAGCTCTTTACCTCTCCCCTGTGGCCTGTTTGCCATGGCTGCATGTAGATAGGGGCTAAGGACTTGGGGCTGGAGCGAGGTACTGAGTTCCCCGGGGTCCCCACAGTGGTTAAGAGTCAGAGTTGAGGGCACTGACTCAGAGTGACTCTCACCACACGAGACCTTGTTCTATGCCATTATTATTATTATTATTATTATTATTATTACTACTACTACTACTGTTTTGCAGTAGTGGATACCAAACACATGGCCTAGTGCAGGCAAGGCAAGCATGTGACCACTGTGCTACATTCCTAGCTCTTTAAAAACAATTTTTAAAACTAGTTTTGAGACAGAGTACAGCAGTGTCATATGGGTTGGCACTAGCCCTATAATCCTTCCTCAGCCTCCTGAGTAGCTGGAACCATGGCTGTGCCACTGTGCCCGGCTGTATGGAGCACTTCTGAAGACGATGTCACAGCTGTGTTAGGGATTCAGTGCTCCAAGTAGGAGTAGTGTGAGGAGCAGAAAGACAGAGAGAAGACAGAATGAGAGTGTGAGTGGCACACCCACGTGTACACATGCACAAACGAGGGAGACGAGGAGGGACACAGGACGGAGAGGGCGGGGGCCGTTCCCCATGCCAGTACACGACCTCCCGGCCTCGCCATTCTGCCTGGGTTCGTATCCCCAGGTCAGACTTGGTCCTGTGACGCTCTCCCTTGCCAGAGGAGTGTTTTCCATTCTAGTGGGATTGGTGTTGGGCTAGCAGTTAGTGCTAGGGTCCCTGCTGGGGCCATCCTGTGACAGGGAGGTGTCAGCACAGGTAGCAGTCACCTCAGCCCCAGATGGGACCCTCCATTCAGGGGATTCCAGGTGGCTTCTTGCCCCGTGCTCTGCTCTGGGAGAACATAAGCAAATGCTTTTGTGTACTTTTCAGTTTTAAAGTCCCTACATTCAAGCCTCACTTAGTCCTGGAGTGCTCCTTGGCTGTCCCAGTGTCCCCTTCCCCCTTCTCTCCGAGCTTCTCCAGGGGACATCAGGACCTGACAGTGTGTGACCCTTGCTGTTTTGTTTACTACTACTTCTTAATGCTGGGAACAGTGTGTGGTACATGACACTCACGTGAGTATTTGTTGATTGAGTGTGTTTTCCAGAAGGGTAAGCTCTGAAATCACCCTTAGAACCAGCATGGAAGTTTCACAAAAATAGACACGTGATACTAATAATTCCAGTATTGAAGAAGGAGGCAAATATCTTTTAGAATTTACTGTTAAAAGGAAAATGTCATTTTATAAGTTTGGCTTGAAAGCAGCTGACTTGGCACATTTGGGCAGTAGGGTGGTAATAATACAAAGTCCCCTAGAGCCGAGCCAGGCCCTCAGTATCTATCAGGATTTCTTTCCTTCTTCCGCTTTTTCCGTGTGAGAGTGAATTAAGTGTGTAGCACATAGAAGTGCTGTAGTTTCTATCTTTGGGAGTCTGTCCTCCTTATTTCATGGAGATTTCCCAGCGTTAGTCATGTGAGATGATGTTCAAAAATGTGCTAGACATGTAACTCCAGGGCTGACCCTCTTTTAATGCCAGCGTTTTCAAAATACATCTTTAAATAGTGTCCATGCATTTCTAGTTGGTGAATAAATTAGAATGTAACCCCCATCCACTCTGTAAAATCCACAGTCATTTCCCCAGTGGTGCTTGCGATAGCTTGTTTTTAAGTCATTATCCAACTGGTTGTTAGGTGCGTCTCTGGAGAAAGCTGCTGACTGTTGTCGGGGATAGATGAAAGCTCAGGCGAGCGCCAGAGGCATCAGCAGAAAGTGTTCCGACAGACAGCTCATAATGATCATTTCTCAAACTGGAACCTTTGTGTCTAATGTCTGGCTTCTGTGGAGTGTGGTTGCCGCTGTTTCTACTTTTCTCCTTGTCTCTGATGTTTATGGAAGAAAGGAGCTGTCTAAACGGGTTTAGCCTCTCTGTTCTGAGGTGCAGTGCTGTCCATGTGTTGTCATTTGACCGGCAGCCATATGTTGTCTACACTTAAAGACCAAAGCTTTCATGTGTTTGAAACGTACTTTCCCGAGATAGTATATCAAGTTCTAATAACACTTAGATGCTGAGTCCAGCCAGTGTGAATCCTTGCTTCATGTCATGTAACACCACTTGCGGGCAGCACAGTGGTTAGATCAGGATTTCTCAATCTTAGATCCAAGCAAGGACTGCCTGTCTGAGTAATTGCTGAAATGGGAAGCAGAATTGTATGAGTTCTTTTTCCATTACTCTGGGAAAGATGACTAATGGCTTTCATTGGAGTCTCAAAAACAAAAACAAACAAACAAACAAACATATAATGAACTATCTGGTCTGTGTGGAGTGTACTGAATGGAAAATCTGGAGGCCTGGATTCTTCAGTCTCCAAAACCAACTTGGGTTTGGAAAAAAGACCTTTCTCTGTTTCTGTCTCTATCTCTGCCTCCGTCTTTGTCTTAGTCTGTCTGTCTGTCTATCTCTCTTGTCATGTGTGCTTTTTGGAGACAGAATCTTTTTATGTAGCTCAGGTGGCTGGCTTTGAATTCATAACTCCCCTGCCTCAGTGTCTTGAATATGGGTTAATATATCACTCTTCTAGGCCGTGGACTTCTCACCTCTAATTGTGAAGACTGAATTAAATGAGCATTCCCTCAAGATTGTTCATGTGTGTAGTTGCTTGTGAACTATGATTCTCATCACATCGAATTACAACCTGTACTTTTTGCTTCATATTTTTCTTTTCATCAAATACTCAAAAATTAAAATTTATTTAGAGAAGTACTCTGCATTTATAAGTGGAAAACCAGCATCACTCGCTATTCAGATGTTGTGTAAAGATGTTTGCTTTTGTACCGTATCTGACACACTGGTGCACTGAAGATGTTAACTTCAGTCTAAGTTCACTCTGACTTTCTCTACTCAGAAGGCCCTAGAAAACATTCCATCACTAAGGCATTAAGAAATTAAGAGCTTTGTGATTTCATTTCTGTAGGCCAGATATAATGAAGGATGCTGCTTAGCAATCTCAGTGGGAAAATAGGCGTTAGCAATAGTAGAGGCCAGATAGTGATCTGATCTCTCAGAGACAAAGAAGATGCAGTGAATGGAATACACTATGGGGTAGAATGCTAATCAGGATGTCAGGGCCAGTAGTGTTCAATACTGATTGTTCTTTGGTCATAGGAATCTAGAAAAATAACAGGTGGCTATCCTGTCAAGATATTGCTTGACATAAAAACTCTAGGTTTACTTAACTCAAAGTAGCACAGTGGTATTCATAGTTTCTTCTCGGCTTCCTAGACCTGGACCCCTTAACTGGATGACACTGGATCCCGGTGACCCTGCCATATATCTGGAGAGGCACCTGTTGCAATTTGCTAGGGAGACAGTGTGCCATGGAGGGGGAAGTAAAATACCCACAGTTTCTAGGGGTTATTGCATAGTGGTTCTGAGCCCCACAATCCCATATAATATATTAATTAATGCTTATAGAAGTCAGATGAAAGCTGGAACCTTGGTGCATACCTATCTAACAGTGGGGCTAATGGCTTTATTATGTAGTTATTTCCCTAGTCTCAGAATGCATGCTGAGAATAGTTATACATACTAATTGGCAGGATTTCACAAGATTCCTACACTGTTGAAATGAATGATATAGTAAGAAGGGCCAACCGAAAGGAAGCCCCTAGAACTGCACTCTGGGGAAATGCAGAGATCAATATCAGAGATTTGAGATGTACAAGGAAGATGTTTTATTACTTCATTTAGATCACCTGTTTGGCTGATGCAAAAAGTAAATGGATATTACAGTGGATCATCATAAACTCAATCAGATGGTGTTGTCAGTTGCAGAATTATTTCTGTATGTCATCATTTTTTTTCAGATATGCTAGCTTTTGTAGGGAAAATTAATACACTTAGTGTGAAGCTATTTATCTGGCAGATGATTTTTTTTATTCTAGTTGGTAAGAAACACAAGAAGCTATTTACTTTAAGAGACAGAATCAATACCAGCCTTTAATGTTTTGCCCAGGACCATGTCACCTGTCTTGCCATCTGTTATAATATAGTTCCAGGTATCTTTGACCCTCTTTGCATTCCACAGGATGCCATGACTGTCCAAGATTTTGAAGACACAGTGCGACAGAGAAGGATCTGCAATAGACAAGAGGTCACAGAGTGGAACACAGATACTGCAAAAGTTCATGGATGTGGGAGACTAGAGTCCAACACTTACTAGGAATGCTAAGTTGTTGACAACATGTTGCTTCTTGCACTACCCGACACAAAGAAGCACACTGTTTTTTGTACTTCTTTGTGGGTTTTTTTTTTTTTTGGTACCTGGGATTGAACTCATGATCATGTGCTTGCAAGGCAGGCACTTATGCCACTGAGCTAAATCCTTGACCCTTTCTTTGTGTTTTGAAGACAACATGTAACACATATCATGTAACTTCAAAGGCTGAAAATTTTGAACAGGACCTGGAGCATGAAAGGGGTCAGTGTTCTATGTAAGCTTTGCTATCACTAGGGCTTTTGTGACCCAGTGGACGCCAGTGTAGTGAAAGTATCTGCAGCAATGTGGGAGCTGTAGCCACTCTGGCAAGGAGAGTAACAGCAGAGATCTTTAGTGTTGGCTTTGTGAAAAGTAATTCATTTTGACAATTTCCTCTTGACTGTGTGGGCCATGATAGAGACAGTATGCCTGTCTATTGGGGACTAAGTGATTATGCCATTTGAGTGGCCCATTATGAACTATGTGGTACACGAATTTACCGAACCAGAAACCTGAACTTAAACAACAGCAGTGGAAATGATTATAGATGATACTGGAATTGGAGAAACCACTTGTTCATACATCCATATAATTCTTTGAAAGTTTGATCCTTTTCCTCAATCCACATGTTTATAATGATAGGAAGTCCTTTGTTAGTAGATCAATAGATATCCAGGTTTGTCCTGGGTACTACTAGTTTATACTGTTTTCTAGCATAGTTGTAATGACACACCCTTTCATTGTCAAAAGTGTACCAGATAGTCAATTAAAAGGCTACCCTGCCTGTGACCAATTTATAGAGAGGAAAGAGTGTGTGTCTGGTTACTGGATTTCTGTTCGGCCCGATTTGTGTTCTGGTCCATCAGTGTACTGTAACATCACTCATTGGGCAGAACTTTAAATTAGGTATCTGGGTATCTATTTTGTGTGGAAAGGGAGATGACCTAAGAGATCTGACTGACTTAGGGTTCTCCAGAGTGGTCAGCTAATCAGGGATTTGGAAAGAACAAAATGGAAAGATTGTTGATAAGGAGGCCCGGGGAGAAAAATTGTTTAGGAAGACCCCTCTGAATGGAGTGTAGTAGATACTTATTTCTCGTGTGTTTACATGCTGGTAAAAGGAACCATGGTAGAGGAGTTTCTCCATATTAAGATGACCCTGCTTGGGGGAACATTGGCCTCTTTCCCTGACAGTGCTGGTGTTTGCTCAATATGCCAGTATTCAGAAAGACCATGGTGGCAAGAACAGAGGCCTCTCAAGGCCTCACAACTTGAGATCTCTGCTCACCAAAGTTGGCTTAGCGATCACCACTAGCTGTTAAGTACTCGACCTACTAATAGCTGAAGTCAACTTTAGGTTCTGATGTGGCAACATTTGGGGGTCTCACAGATGCCTGCTGTGCATTTCAAAGAAGGACCAGAAGGGCAAGGGATAGAAATTGAGAGTGGAAAGGCACAACTTCATCAGATAGTGGGAATAATTCCATTCTCCCACCATTACTACAGCTGTATGACTGAATTCTCTTTGTGAAGTGGATCCACTGGAAAAGAAGGAAATGGTTATGGTTCAGCAGTTTCATCTCTTTACCTTATTTAGTTCTCACAATAACTCTGTGAGCTATGTAATAGGCCCTTAAACAATAAAAACACAGACACGGAAAGATGAAGTCTCATAGATCCTAAGATACAATATCAAAATTTGAACCCGAACCTTTATTTGACTTTGCTGATTCTTAGGAGGCTGTCGGGCATGCTAAGGTGTGTCTTGCTACCTGCTAGCTGCTATGGACGTCATTCTGCCCTGAGCCTTCGCCAGAGGGACTTGATGGTCAGCAGCCCCATCCTATGGAGTGGGGAGAACAGCATGCTTTGCTGAGCCTGCTGAAGAATGCCAGGTTGGGTGCTATCTCAGGACTCTCCTTCTTCGGCTACGTCCCCTAAAACTTCATCAGAGAACACAGGAGACTGAGTTCCATGCAGTCTAAAACCTGAGCCAGGCAACGAAGAGAAAGTGGAGAGCGTGTGGTAGGAGGCTAATCTTCAGGCTGATCAGGTCTGAACTTTTGAGCTTTTGATCTGCACATGTAGCCTTGCCTTGGTAACAGGCAAAGGTCACTTTCTGCAGCCCTTTCCCTGTGTTACACCTCACCATTGAGCTGTTTCCCACATGGCTGTCATCTTCTCTCTTCTCAGAGGCTTCATTCTGCCAGTGTTTCCTGTGGAAATTGGTGTGATCCCTTCCAGGCCCTCCAGTGCCGCCTAAACCAGATTAGATGCCCATTCTCCATGGCTCCTGGGCACCTTGCACTGGTCTTTTCATAGCATTTTCACGTGTGATGTAGCAACGAGTGTGTATATTTTGCAGTGCTGTTGTGAGACCATACATGTGAAGTAGTCGAGTGTGGCTATGAGTGGTTGGTTTGTTATTATTGTGATATTTATCTACTTGCCAATCATTGTGACATTGATGGACAGGGCTTTGTGCATGATCCTTGCACAGTGCCTGGGATTTAAGTGGATATTCAGTAAACTCTGAGTGAAAAAAATGGATGAACTGAATAAAATGAGTCAATGAATAGCAAAGGTAAGGGATGCATATGCTTAACTATCTTCATATAAATAATAAGCATATATTCCTGATATAACCAGTGAAAAAATTCTTTATTTAAAATAGGCTAATTGTTTTTCTTTTACTAGATTAAATAAAATATTCTACAAATGAGAATTGTAATCCAATATACGAAACCCAGTAATACCAGTTAGGGGTTCTACAGCAATTCCCACTTCATGAAATTTAAATGAAATAGCTTAGCATTCTGAATCTAGTGCTTTTGCTTAGAAAAGTAGTGCCATATTTTCTGGATATAATAGTGTTGTTATGCTCACAGGAGGAATCCTATAATGACTAAGACAGCTAAGAAACAAGCTTATCAAGTGTGGAGACTCTCAGACTTGCTCTGGCGTTATTAATCGTATTTCTAAATCATGGAGACAATTGACACATTTTATTTCAATAAGAGAATGAAAGCAGGGTGGGGACCTAAGCTACTTCTAGCCACTTGTATGGATTAACACAGGTGTGGTGCTCTCAACACCTGTGCTGCAGGAGGGTGGCCAGTGTTTTAGAAAAGGTACACTATGGGGGTGAAGCCAGGCAGCTATGCATACAGAAGCAGGTTGGGGGCTTGAAATGGTCAGGGCTCTTGGAAATGCCATGGCTCGTGCACCATCTGGGGCTGGCGGACTTTGTTTCCTGGCATCGGAGTTTGCGGAGTGTCTGGGGTCATTGTGGTTTCCATGGTAGCTTCTCCTAGGGGTGTGGTGACATCGCCACCATAGGTCTCATAAATCTCAGCTAACTCAGGGGTTATCAGTGGGTCAGCAGTTACTGGGGTGACCTCAAGGGGTCTGTTCCTGTGCCCTGAAGGGCCCCTTGCCATGCTGGGGACATTGTCATTAGGGAAACCAAAGAGCCCTGTGTGGGCACCAGGTGCTATCTGTGAAAGAAGAGCTGCGTTTTCAGGGTCCTCTCCTTTGGTTTCGTGAAGAGGGGAGCCTTGTGCCCCTCCTTCTCCCTTCTCAGGGCCTTTGGTTGCAGCCGGGGTGTCAAATTCCAGAGTGAAGTCTCCAGCCATGGTCGGGTCTTGGGGCACCCTCCGGATGGTGTGCCTCACACCCGTCAGTCCAGGCAGCAGGCCTCCGTAGGTCACAGGGGCCACTCTTCCTCCCTGGAAATCAGAGTCGTCAGAGACACCATTATTATCTGCCATGAAGTGCGCCATCACAGTTATACCTGAGTATCTATACAGAAAATGGGGTAGTGGACAGGGAGCTGGTTGATAGCTTCGTGTGAGCACATTTCTTGAGAATCTGGTCTCAAAATACATGGGAGAGGGGTTCTGTGCATGTGAGGTAGGAGTTCTATGGAAGGCAGAGACCCCGACCCATTACTGGACAGGAGGAAGGGGAGCAGGGTGGAGCTGAACAGAAGCAAGGCTTGAGGCTGCTCAGGGTTTCCTAAGCAAAGGTAAGCAGTCCAGATGGTACTGCCATCAGAAACGGGCATATGCCAGGTTCATGGCCACGTCTGATGAGGGTGCTTTGGAGGGTTTTGTCCTGGCATTCGTAAATATCTTCCCAAGGAGTGAAGCCCCATGAAAGAACCTTTGTCTCTTTCTCCCTTAATTCTTTCTTTCTTTCACCCTCCTTCCTCCTTCCCTCCCTCCCTTTCTCTCTCTTTCCTTCCTTCCTTCCTTCCCATCTTTCTGTCAGTCCTTCCCCTTTTGGAACAAGTATGAGAAAAAGCCTGATTTCTCTGGGGGAACTAAATGGGACCCACAATCATGGGCTATCTGAAACTGAGCCGAGTTGTGTGACTTGTACTTACACATTCTGCTTCCCTTACTGTTTGTACTCACTTAAAATTCTACCTTCAGAGTTTTAAAAAAGAATTTATTGTGCATTTTCTTTTTTTCTTTTTTTTGTCTTTTTCCTTTTTATCAGTACCGGGAATTGAACTCACGACTGCCTGCTTGCAAGGCAGGCGCTTATGCAGCTGAGCTATATCCCCAGCCCCTGTGCATTTTCATAAGCTACCACATAATCTTTTGAGAACTTATAATGGCATTATAAGATTGTATTGGTGATTGGACAGCTGGTTCCTGGTCCCCATGTAGTGCTGTGGACCCTTTTCTGTTCTCCCTTCTCCTGGCTCCTCACTGCGAGATGCCTCCGTGAGCCCCGCGCCAGGCTGTCTGCCTTCCTTCCCGTCTCCTGCAGATGAACGGGCTGTTTTCTCTATCTCATGGATGTGATGTTATTTTTCCTGTTTGTTAGGCTAGAATCTCCTTCTCAGCAGAAGTCAGATGCCCTCTGCAGGGCACACAGAAGGAACCCAGAAGTGTTGAGAAGTGAGAGTTCTCTTAGAGCCAGATGTGTGTGCTTTTAATAAGTTGATTTGATAGGATGTGTAGTTAACAATGACTTGTTGATTCAACATGGCTTTTATTTTCTTTTGTTCTCTAACAGACATAAGAGGTAGAACTTTCCAAGGGGAAAAGTCAAGCTGTGTGAATTAGTGGTTCTCAAATTTTACAGTGTGTATGGATAATAACAAGATGATACTTAGGGCACTTTGAAATTTTATAATAATCCAATTTTAAAGTTGGATAATCTTATTTCCCTATTTGGACTTAGTTTTGAGCTTTGAATTTGCTTGTGCTGCTGCTGAGTTGGGGGTTTTGTAGGTAAATGGCCCGAGAAGGGATGGGCACACCGAAAGCACCACATGTATCTTTCCCTTTGATGCGTTTTCAGGTTGTTGACCTTCAGGATGGGTGTTGCTCCTGTTCACATAGAAGGGCTGAGGTAAAGCCCTGTGCTGGAGGATTGTCATTACTCAGAAATAAATGGCTGCAGGACACAAGACAAGACCTTCTGATACCGCCTCAGACTCGAGCGTTTGGTTTTAGAGTAGCAAAATCTGAATCTTGAGCTCCTTCAGCCACTTTACTAGCAGTCATCACTGACTGCCCGTCCCTAGCCACCATTTTCAGAAGAGTTAGAAGGTGCTACTTACGGGCATTTCTTCTGAACTCATGAAGCCAAGTCTTGCTGCAGGGGCACTCTGTTCAAAGGGAGCAGTGTGTCAGATCACGAACTAGCCGCCTCCTAACCCCTCCTGACTGCTCTCGCAGAGTTCCAGGTCACTCACCTTTTTCTGACCCTCAGTACTGATGCTGTGGCCAGGGGAGGCATGCAGAGCCAATCTGCCACATCTGCAACTTATTTTTTCTTTAATGCCCATGTGTGTGTGTATGGCCAGAATTCTCCAAATAGGAAATGTGCCTCTGTTGTATTTCAGTTGCTAATGTAGCCATTTAGTCAATATTTATTTGGAATGTCTTGTGCAAGGTCTGGGTGTTTGTGGTTTTGCTTCTTAAGATGACATTTAATTGAAAGTGACTCACCAGTTGATTTGTTCCATAGGACATATAAACCATTCCAGGATAAAGCTAAACAAAATAAAATAGTTATCACAAAATGTACTTTCCAAGGGCAGTACTTTAAAGTAAATTACAAACAGAGAAATGGCATTTAAAAAACTTACCATAGCTGGTTTATTTTGTGGTACTGGTACCCGGGATACGAAACGGGCTATTTGGAACACCTTTAAGTGGTAGCAAACAAAATTAATTTGCACATGCAAATCCTTACTCCTGTAATTTCTGAGAATTATATTAAATGTATTTGCAGATGGTTTAGTTTGAAAAATTAGTACTTGATATTTAAGAAAGCTAAGGGGCCCATAATACTTCATATTCACAGATAAACAAGATGATTTAAAATTTTTATTTTACTTTTATGGAGTATAAGAGTTTTCCCCAAGAGAAGGATATGTCATTGATATCTGTACTTACTGATGGAATTTGTGGATCTGCAAAATCCAGTACAGGGAGCTGTAGATGAATATTAAAGTTAACAGCCACGATAGACAAACTCACACCCTTATCTGGTTTATAATTGCAACAAGACAATTGTAAGATGTGTTTCATTTTCTGTTTTCTTTCGAGGGAGGAGAAGCATGTCAGCCATGAATTTGCTATAGTACATTTTGAACTGGAACGTACTTTCTTGGTTTGAATTTTGGCTCTACCAGTAAGGTTTTATTTCACTCGGAGAAAATTCTGTATCTGTCTTTGTAAAACTGCAGTCAGGGTGTATGGGTGTGGGGTGGGGAATGTTAAATGCCTGCAAGGTGCTAGTTATGTGGAACCTTCCTTTTTCTGTCCATTGCTCTCTTTTTGCATTGTTACTAGGTACTTTTACATGGTTGTCATCCCTCTAATGAGAGATAATATATAATCCTGTTGTTATGCAGAGGAATTAATCACTGTTCTCATTCTTTCCAAACTCCCCCCCCCCCCATGATAGATTGCCTGGGTTTCTCAAGGCTGTCCTGTTTTCTATGGAAGTTTTCATCTTCTACAACTAAGAAGCCAAGTTTTATAGGCACAAAGTCTTTTAGAATCTCTACCACCTCTGAAGGAAGAGGTCAGAAAAATAGATGTTTATGTTCTACTAAAAAAAGCCTTTAAAATAAAAGGCTGCTTAATAACATTTTATTGCATTAGGCTGAGGGTTGTGATTAAATGTGGCTTGCAAATTGGTTTTCATTCATTTGGTTAGTAGGCGATCCTAATCTGATTTTAGAGAAGAGAATCACCTTGACCGTAACTCAGTGGCAGAGTGCTCATCTAACCTGCAGCAGGCCCTGGGTTTGATCCCTGCCATGGTTGAGTGGAGTCAAAAGTGGGAAGAGGAGGGCGAAATTACCTCAGGGTTCAGTGGCATCTCTGTTGGGGCCACTTGCTCGTGAGCCTCTGGCAGTTCCGCATCCTTCAAGGGCAGCTGTCTGGGGTGCATCGGAGGCTGAGGTCCTGCCTTTTGGGGTGTGTCCTGGATAGCAGGGGTAGCAGTGGGCTGTTGGAAATGTTTCATTCCTGGCTGTGGAGGCTGCTGGGATGGCTGGGATGGGAGAGGTGGAGGGTGCACCGGCACCGAGTACTCGTACTGCAGAGAGATTGGAAACGGTGTCAAGAGGGATGTTTCCTGCATGGTGGTGCCAAGAGCTTGCTTAGCAAAAGGCCCTGGGTGTGCTCCGTGTGGACTTGAGGCAGAGGTTGCAGAGGAAGCCAGTCAGTGTCATTTGAGAAAGTGCTGTGTGTTCTTGCCTCCTCTACTTCCTGAGGGACCACCATTGCTCAGAAAGGTGGAAAGTGACCTGAGCCTTTTGAAGCCGTCAGTCATTTCTTCCTCTTGGTTTTCATGACGACCAGTATATATCTTTATTTTGCAGCTCTATTGTTGGACTATAATTATTGATCATAAATCTTTGTCTCCCAGTCAATCTATCTCTATATAGAGAATATAGATTTTTTTATAGATTTTTTTATTTATAGATTTTTTTGAGACATGGTCTTGGAATTGAAAGTTCCTGATACAATCACTATAGTTTTTTTTTGCTTCCTTTAGAGATTACTTACGAATGCCTGCATATCACTTGTAGATCATCTGCAGGCATCCTCAGATTGGCAGAGATGCCCCAGAACTATTTGACTCTGCTTTGCACAGTAATCACCTGTGTTTGAACTCCCATGGCACTCACTTTTTGTGCCTCATAGTTTAGCATCTTGGAGTATGTTGTTATCTCTCAAGCAGGGTTAACTTCCTGAACCTTAGAGGCATTCTACAATGTATTAACATTCACTCTCAAGCACAATTTGGTTAGTATATTTGTTAGGAACCTAGTAAAGGTTGGTTTATGAAATTTTTAATGATTTATTATCTTTTAACTGGAGTTTTTGCCGTTGTTGAGTTTGCCTTTTGAATAATGACATAGATATTAGTTTAAGTAGAAAATTATCCAGTCTGCTTTCATTCTTGGGAATTGCTTCTCTACTGTTACTTCTGGTATCTTTAAGTGAGATCTCTTCTATTTAGAAGTCATCTCTTTCTACTTGAAATAAATATTCAAATGGTTGAAAATTTCAAATATTTTTCCTGAGTGATAAAAACAGTTATAGAATTTGGTATTACTATAGTTGTTTTAAAAATTACTGATTCTTTTCTGTTGTTGGTGTGTTATAACTTCCAGAAGGCAAGCAGGGGAAGATGTCAAAGCTTGAAGTTTCAAACACACTGATGCCATCGACTTACTTGCTGAGTCTCGTGTTCTCTGGGTCTCAGCCACGGGAAAGACGAAGGTGGTGGGAGGAGACCTTGCAGCCACAAAGAATTGAGTGATTTTCCAAAACCAAACCTAGAATACTGTAGATACAGGAAAAAAAAATAACGTGCTTCTACATTATGAACCAAAGTAAAAGGGGAAAGTCATGCTGGTAAATGCAAAATGGATGGGTAAATTCTCCCTTCCAACAGACTGAAATTCCTCTCTGAGCAAGACTGCAGTATCCTCATTAGTTTGTCTGAGAGTTAGTGCTTTAAGCTCTGGTGTTTTGGCCATATAAGTCATGAAAGATTTTCTTTTAATCTAATGAAAATTCAGTATTGTTTTTATTTTTACTGGTTACTCTATTTTGTTTTAGGCTGTTTCAATTACTTACTCTTTCAACATTTAAGATATTGCCTATTCATAAACAGATTTTATGAATTACAATGCTGCTGCTACCACTACCACCATCATAAAAATATCTGAAAATACGTTTACCTGAGAAAGTGCGTTTAATCCTTGAAGACTTCCCAATTGTCTCATTGTCTATCAAGAAAAAATTTAGTGGGTTAGTGTTGGTCTCATGCATTATTCTTTTGGTGCAACTGATTTCTCATGATGTCATCAACATAAACTTGGGGTAGGTAAATCTGAACAAGTCAAAAGTAGACACAAATTATCAATGAAAGATTTTATAACACCTATTGCTGCTGTTGTTCTATTAAAGTAATGAGCTTCCTTGATTAAAGGAGGAAAAAAAAACAGTTAAAGGGGTCACACTGAAAATGAGAAAACAAAGCCAGGCCTGGTGATGCACACCTGTAATCCCAGCACTCAGGAGACTGAGGCAGGAGTATCATTACAAGGTTCAAGACCAGCCTGGGCTACACAGTGAGCTCAAGACCAGCTTGGGCTGTATAGTGATTCCCTTTCTCAAAACAAAACAAAACAAAACAAAACAAAACAACTCAAAGAGAAAAGAATCAATAAAATGGGTTTCATCCAATTTCCCAGCAAGCATGAGGTTGCTGGTACCATTAAAAAAGAAGCTCATTTAATTAAAATAAATTTGTGAGGATATAGCTTCATAAACTTCCCCCCACTTGAATTATCTTTTTCTCTTACAAATTCAGCCTGCAAACGAAAATAAACCTGCATGAACAAAACAAAACAAATCAACTTTTGCTGTTTTCCTGAACAAAAAGTTCTCAAAATAATGCATATAAAAAACATTGGAGGAAAGGGTATCTGGGAGACTGTCTAGAAAGTCCCATTATGACATCAGAAAGTGAGTTTTGCTTTTTAAATGGGAAGATAGTTTTATATTTAAGTTAGAAAGTGAGAAAACTCAGTGAAATTATTTTCCATGTGAAATAAACATGTAGCCCATGTACATACTGACTTTTCTAGATTATTATGATACAAAATTTTGTCAAACCTGTGAAAATTGTGACATTCACAGTCTCATGTAAATATCTGCTTATAATTGTCAACATTTAATCAATCAATCAATTAATTAATTAATTTTTAATTTTGGTACTGGGGATTGAAGTCATGACCTTCCACTTGCCAGGCAGGCCCTAATGCTGCTGAGCTAAATCCCTGGTCCCAACTGTCAACATTTTAATTGATATGGTAAAAAAATTCTCTGTTTTGTAGTTTTCTAAAAAAACGCATGTTATTTATAAGAACTACAATAAAACAAAGCCTCACAGGAAGTGCAGTACAGTGTTAATGCTACTTTTTGTTAGAGTAAGTTTGCAATATAAATAATTACATTTCTTCTGGGAGATGGTGTATGTACATGCCACATCTGATCATTTTTACTCCTCCTTCCTGCTCCTTCTTCCCCAGACCCCTTTCCCATTTCCACAGAGTCTATCTCCTATTTTCTACTATCTTTTTTTTTAAAAAATTTTTGCTCTTTAAATCAAGTCTCATATTAGAGAGACCTTGCAAAGTCTAACCTTTCTGTGCCTGCCTTATTTCACTTAGTGTTACGGTCTCCAGATCCATCCATGTTCCCACAAATCACTTAAATTTATCCTGCTTTATAGCTGAGTAGTATGACATTGTGCATATATACTGCATTTTCTTTCTCCATTTATTGGTTGATGGGCATATGGGTTACTTTCAAGATTTAGTTATTATGAGTTTTGCTGCTGTAAATGTGGTGTGCATATGTCACTGTAAAATGATAACTTTGACACAGGAAGATACCCAGAAGAGGTATAGCTGGCTCAAATGAAATTTTTATGTTTAATTTTTTGAGAAATCTCCATACTGTCTTCCATGGTGTTTATATTGGTTTACATTCCCACCAACAATGTAGAAGGGTTTCTTATCTCCACAACCTTTTCAGCATTTGTTGTTTGCTGAGTTCTTGATAATAGCCATTCTTACTGAAGTAAGGTGGCATCTCAGTTTTTTAATTTCAGTTTTTCCAAACACCAAAGAAGCTGAACAGTTTTTCATGTACTTGTCCATTTGTACTACTTCTGAGAAGAGTCTATTGTCCATTTTTTATTGTTCATTTCAATTATCGTTTTTGATACTTTTTAGGGGGGAAGGTCTTTTTTTTTAGTTCTTTCATATTCTGGATATTAGCCCCTTGTCCAAGGATTAGCTGAAAAAATTCCTTCCCACTGCACAGTCTGTCTTCCTGGCATCATGTCCTGTGCAGTTGTTAATGCTACTTACAGTGCTTCTTATCTTCAATTAAATTTTGTACAATGAGTTTTCTGCGTGAGAACTTTATCATATAAGATATTAAAAGCAGCAGGGCTAAACATAAACCATTTGTGACTATAGAAGAAAGTACTTTAATTAAATATAGTGATTATATTAGTGTGTCTGTAGTATATATTAGGTATTAGTGGTTAGTATTGTTTTGATTTACACACAGATGATGTTCTCAAACTTAAAACATCTATTTAACATTTCAGCAAACTTAGATAAAACTCTAATAAGTATCATTAATGACTCCAGAACCACTCAAGATGATAGTCATAGCCTGTGAGTAGGAAAATTCAGAGTCAGCGCATTATGTCTGTCCACAATCAGGAACATACCAAGGTGAAGTGTACATATTACATACCTCTAGACTCAAACTAGCCATGCCGGGTGGTGCCATGTTTGGTGCTCCTGGTTGCTGAGGAAATGCCTGAATGGAAATAAATACTTTTGAGTTCTCTAGGCAAGAAGCTTCCTTGAATGTGTCGATGGAATGCATGCTGGGAGCAAGAAGTCCCCAAGTCTACCAGGGCTGGTTCAGGGACTGCCATCGTGGCTTACTACTCAAATCATTTGTGCTTTTGGACAAAGTGTGTACAAATTTATTTGGGAGAATTATAATGTTTACTAATTTTTCTCCCAAATGAATCATCTATCTATTGTGTACATCTTTTTACTTTGTTGCTTTAAAAGCAAAATTTTATGTAGTTTACACAATGAGAAATGAAATAAAGCAACAAGACATAAAAAGAACCATATTTTATAGCCAAGTCCCAGCATTTTGGGAAGCTGAGGCAGTAGCATTTCAAGTTTGTGCCTAGCCTCAACAACTTAGTGACTTGGTGGATCACTAAATAAAATAAAAATAGCAAAAGGGCTAAAGATGTAACTAAGCACCAGACCCTCGGTTCAACCTCAGCACCACAAAAAAGAATATTTAAAAAATAATTACATAAAAAAGTAAAAGAGACAGACTTGAGCTGAATTTTCACATGCTTTGGGCTTGTGGGATGTAGTGTAAAATTATAGTGGCAAGACAACTGATGTGCAGAGCCCGAGCGGCCTCCTGGTCCACCACCAAGTCCTCCATCACCTTGGGCGAAAGATGGTGCATAAACCTGTTGACCTGTGTTTATACTCTGAGATCATATCAAAAGCATGTTTTTCCTTAAATAAAAGTATTCTAGCTCTATTATGCTATTATACTTAATGTGTTCACTTAAAAGTTGTTGAAAACACAGCTGTATTTACAACTTGCTTTTAAAATGCAAGACATTTCCCTTTCTAAAGCTTTTTGATATTTTCATGTGTTAATATTCCTAAATATTGGGGTTGAGGGATGGGGAATGGAAGAGTAGGAATTATAGTAAATCGGATTTTGAGAATTTTTATTGCCTTTGGATGTTCTCACAATCCAGTGTCGAGAGCTTGAAATGCCTTTCTTTACTTAAACCATAAATACTGATGAAATACTAAATGTATTGAGACTACTTTTCCTTTGGGAAGAATAATTTCGCAAATTCTGCCCCAATGTATTTCACCCCCTAGGTTTTCATAATATCCCACTTTCTGAGTCATGGTGCAGTTTTCCAAGTCATGAATTGTGGGAAAGATATCATAAAGGCACATGCAACCTCTTGGGTTGAGAAGAGGTCAGCTAACTAGAAAGGGGGAGTGCTGTGGGTGCCCCTGTGTGTGGGGGTGCTGGTATGCATGGCAGGCAGCTTGGTTAGAATTTGTGTGATTCTAAGAGCAGAGCACCCTTCACTGGCTGGTACAAATAACACATTTTGGGTGGCTCCAACTGCAGAAAAGTATACTTTCCATTTGCTCGAAGTCATAAATTAAACAATAATATTGGCGTGAATGTAAATAGAGGATACATTTCTCAGGAGGAATGGAAGGAAAAGACACCTGATTTTTGGTGTTGGCGAGGGTCCAGTTCCTCGGGATGGCTCTGAGTGGCTCAGGTGGGGTGAGGGTAAGTTCAGAGTCACACATCAGAAAGATGAGGGGCCGCCAGCGTTGGCATCGCACAAAGACAAGTCAGGGTGGCACCTTTAATTTTTCTTTCATTTAATATTCACCTTGTGTGATAGAACAGGAGCTCTATGTTTACTCATGGATTTAAGGTTTTTATCTGTGTAATCAATTTTTATCCACTTTTTTCAAAACATGAAGCTTTAAGAAACTCAAGGAGCTGAAATGTCTAACGTTCATCTGAGGCCAGCCCTGAGCTCCTAGAGACAGGAGAGCATGTCTGACCCGTGGGTGTGTCCCCAGTGCCTACCGAGGACTGGCTGGCGGGGTGGCCGCTGCTCAGTGTGTACTCGTGAAGTGCACATGGCAGAGCGGAAGAAAGGCTTTGTGATGTGGGACTGACATGGTTGGCCGGAGTAGCTCAGTGCTCACAGGGCTGTGTCTATGTGTGCCTGTCTCGGGGCGGGCGTGGGACTGGAATGCTCAGTGAGCCCCATTGCTCTGATTTGTTAGATTTAAGAAACATGAGCTCAGTCACACACTTTCACCTCTACAAATAAATGTGTTAATTACCGCTTCAACCGCAATCATCCAACTCTGTTTTATAGCCAGAGTAATTTGGCTAATATTTTCTTTCTTAAAATGTAAGACAATGTGCATTTTTGTCCAGAAAAATGTCCCTGTTTCACTTCATTCTCACAGTTACAGCAAAGAGTTGCAAGTAAAATTTTGCTATGGCATTGTGGAGACCATTTAAGTCTTTTAACTTTAAAGGAGTTAAATGAGACTTAGAAATTACCATCAGAATATTTTAAATATTGTATGTAGTAGAAAGATGTTCGATGCACTGCTTTTGATGGCGAGGGTGTCACTGCCTGGAGTAGTGTGACTTTTAATTAAACAGCAGCTACCCCTTGGCTGAAAAGAGCACAGGGCCCTCAGCCAGGTCCCTGCAGTGTTTCTTGGCTCCCGCATGGCCCTCTGGAGCAGACAGACTCACCGGCACTGCAAAGCTTATTTTCAGGAGGGACAGGAACAGCATCAGGTCCTTCATTTTGAAGAGTGGAATCTAGAACACAGTTGGGTTGGAGAACTCAGATGAATTTTTGCTTCAAAACAGTTAAAAGAGTCTGAGTCACCTATTCTTCTGAAACCATCAGGTTTTAAGAACCAACAAAAAACAAGCTGTTGCTAAACAACTGACTTATAATTATTATTTCCTGGAATGAGTTGACAAACAACTAAAAGTATCTAAGCACTTTTCAGTGGTGCTACAGTTTAAATGAAGATTCTGGGACCATTCCCTTGGACATTCTCTAAATGCTGGGCTTCCTTTCATAATATAAATCTGAATTTAAGAACATCTCTATGAGATGATACACTGGTTTATCGAGTACCATTCATAGGAGTTTATACTCTTCTTGATGTCTGGGATGAATCTGAAATGCACTTGAAATGTAATGCAACCATCAATACCTTCCTTTGTGGCAGGTATTTGGTATATCATTTGATGTTTAGGTAATCTGTGTAACCATGCTAAAATGTATCTTTTACAGATTAGAGTAAGTTGAATATGTTAATTTCCTTTGCTGTTAGTGGAAAACACATCCCAAAATATATTTTGGTATTTATTCCTAAAATGAATGATCTCTTTGATTGATAAATTTGAAAAGCTCTTTGCTTTTACATGAATGAAAATCTGACTGGCAAAGAGATTTGCTCCTCTTTTTATACCTTTTAATTAGCCACTAACACTAATAATAACAAACAGTAAAAAAACCAATCTGTAGATAAGTCTTTTTTTCTTAACTGGATGGGTGTTCGTCATGTCTTCTCTGTGCCATGCTAATGAATGATAATAAGCTATTATTCAGCATCTTGCAACAAATGAAGATAAATCCTCCCTGGACACAGGAAAAAAACTTACAGGAAACACGGAAATTATAAAATCATGTTTTACCTTAGACGGTGACATTCACAAGTGCTCTCAGGGCCTGTTGATGCCAATCAAGGTACTTCTAAGGAAAGAAGATTAAAATCTTTTCTGGCCTGTGCCTGGGACTCTCTCTGTATCTCTCATTCGCGGAAGATCAGAAACCTTTATTTAAAGTGCCAATCCACCAATCAAAGTGGAGCAAAATGGAAGAAAAAAAATCCCTGCTCCTGAAATTAGTCCACACCCTTTAATTGCATGCAAGGACACTGGTCCTGTAGGGTCTCATTATTTTTAATTGTAACTCAGCCCCTGTATTTATTCAGAGAAGTTGATTGCAGAGAAGACAGTAAGGGAATAATGGATCTGGGCTCTGAAGACAATCATTTGGTGAGCTGGGGGAAATATATGTAAAATAGGTGCAAAGCAAGCAATTATCTGTTTTGTGCAAGTGTTTATCTGTAGATAAAGCTAGTGACCTAGTGCAGTATTCTCAAGATTTTCCTTTTCCTGTTGGTTGTGGTGGAGTTAACTACCCTCCCTTCCCCAACACACACACACACACACACACACACACACACACACTCTCTCTCTCTCTCACACACAGACACAGTAGAAAGTAACACGAATATAACTTCCTGGGCTTGAAATAGAAGACAAAATGTGAGATAGATGATAAAAGAGTTGTGCTGTTTTTGTTTGGAATCGCTGAGGTATTTTCATGTCTGAGGATACTGATTAGAGCTAGCTAAGCTTTGGGATTACCATGGGTCAATCTTTGATGTATTTTCTTTGAGAAGAGAGGAAGAGGAATTCAGAATATTCCCCAGGAGCCAATCAAACCAATGTGCACAGCTCTCTTGTGAGGTAATGCTATTTCTAGACATTAGTATTAAGCCAGGTTGGCAAGGCTTACTTGGGTCACTTAAAAGGTTAACGTCAACCTAGATGACTTTTTCTCTACGAATAGATAAAAATGTCATGGATATAGATAGAACTTCAGCTGCCTTAGGAATTTCCCTGTTCCTCTTAGTCTTTCTAAAGATGTGATTTCACACATGGTAGGGATAAGTGTTTGTGGTTCCTTTCTGGAGAAGGGATGACTCAGTGCACTTTAGGGAAGCAGAGGTCTTGCCAATTACAGGGAACACTGAGGAAGCCTGTATTTTGGGAAAAACACATCTCCGTGCTCAAGTGCAGGCCTAATAGCTTTAAATAGTGTTATTTAAGCAGTTATCCCTAAAAAACTCCTTCTGTCACTGATAGCAGAATTTTCTTTAGGATGCAAAGAAATCTCAGTGTGTTCTGTAACATTAAATGTTATTGAAATGAACATATTTCTGTCTCCCTCGCCACCCCAATGCCTCCTCTTCTTGAGCAAGTCACCTGGTTTCTCTAATCCTGTTTCTTTGTAACATAAAGGAAACAATTCACTGTCACAGACTTGTTTTGAAAATTTGTTGACGGATGATGATGCAGCACCTGCCAAACAGTGAGTGCTCAGCAAGTCGGGTGACTGCTTTGGGGAGACACCACATGAAATATGAAGCCATGAGCCATGTGGTGTGCGTGTCTGTGGCACAGGGTTTCACCAAGTCACTACGCTGTGTCTTGATGAGTTTGTATATAGGCATATACCCACGATACCATCATCACAACCAAGGCACTAAACATATTCACTAACTTCCTGCATTTCATTCTGTTACTTGGTGGGTTTTGTTTTGTTTGGCAAGGCACTTAATGCAAGATCTAAATATTGTTACTATAGCAATGTGTTGTACTGAAACTCTTCAGAACTTTGAATCTGCAGTGAATACCAGGTGCCTTTTACTCACCGAAGAGTAATTCATGTCTCCCTTTCTTCTGGCCCCTGCTTCTTGGTGTGTGACTGACTATTTTAGGATAGTCACAGGATTTGGCCTTCTGTGACTCATGATTTCACTTGGTACAATGGCTGCTAGGTTCCTCTTTTTGTAGACAGCAAGACTTTCATCTTCCTGAGGCCAGTGATGTCCTGTTGTGTGTGCTTTCCCCACTGTCTGCCCCGTCATCTGTGGGTGACCGTTTGGATTGTTTCCCTAGTCTGGCTGTGGTGGGTGATACTGCTGTGAGCCTGGTGGTTCTTCCCAGACTGCTTTCTTTCCTCTTTGCCACTTGTTTCTTAAAGCCTTACTCACATTTTACCTCTTCATGACTCCTTCACAACCATTCCATCACGATATTATTTTTGCCTTCTCTGAATTGTAAATATTTGTATCATTCACCATACTGACTTGTGACAACTTGCTCATGATAGATCTTTACTATTTTGCTTTGTATGTGGCCTTTTAACTTAATTGTGGTATGTTTTTCATTTTTTTCAGCAATACGAAACAATCCTATAGGTTGAAGTTACTCTGCTAATGTGCATCCTTTTGCATTCTATGCATATAAACACACAGTATTTGGATACATTTAGGCATTAATTTGCGTGTTTAACATATATCAGTTTATTCAGTCCTCAGAAAAACTTTCTGAAAAAGATGCTATCCTTCTGCTTTTTAATATATAATAAAGCCCAACTATCCAGGGCCAGAGTCCTCGCTTTCTTTACTATGTCAGAACAAAATGAGTTCCCAAGTAGCAAAAGATAGGTTGGCCACCCATCCCTGGGTGCGAGGAAGCACAGCACGTGCCTTGTCTGTGGGGAATTTATCAGAAACTTACTAACAGAAAAGAGATACATAAAAATCGCTAATGAAACATCTGTTAAATAACAACCTAATTGAGAAGCATACCCATTATGGCGAGGGATGCTAAGAATTATGATTCTCAGTTAGAGAAGGTGTCTGCCCTTGGGGAGGCTTGCTGCTGAGGAAGTGTCGGGAGGTAGTTTTGGCTATCACAGTTTGCCCAGGATTGGGTGAAGGGGGATTTGCTGCTGTCATCTACTAAACATCAGCTTTGTACCTCTCCCCTGAAAATCCAATTGTCTATACTGCCTAGATGTGGAAGCTCCTGGAGAAGAATGCTTTATAATTTTCAAGGCAGGAGCAGGGACGGAGAGAAAGCACAGTCATACTGGGGAAAGCCACTCTTGGATTTGTATTTACTTGTGGTGCTAGACTTGAACACAGAGCCTTCACACCGGGAAGGTATAGCCCCAGTCCTTTAAATTTTTGTCTTTTATTTTGACACAGGGTCTAAGTCACTATTGTCCAGGCTGGGCTCAAGCTTTCAATCCTCCTGACTCAGCCTTCTAAAGTGTTGGGATTACAGATTTGTACAACTGTGCCTGGTTTAGGGGAGGCCAATTTAAAAAACTCCCTTTGAATGTTAATAAAATAAATAATAAAGACTTCATGACTCTAAACAGTGCGATCTATTGTGCATAATATTGGCAGCTCATTTGTATGACCACTGTCATGTGCCAGGTGTCACTGCACATTTGCTGTCTTACTTTGTCTTCATGAGCTACACAGTCGACATACAGGTGGCATGGACGTTAGAAAGGGTGCTCGTGGGCTGCAGAGTGAGGCACCATAGCCTTGGTCTGGACTGCCAGTCACTGCACTGTTCTCATTAGCATTTTTTCAGGGTCCTTTGGTTTGGGCTAAAGCTTATTTGATTGTTAATTCTTACAAAAAATGAAGACTATCTGTGAAATCTACTGGTACATTGTTACCATACAGTACCATAATGTAGGAGTCAAATTTGAATTATTTTTACTGGCTAATGGAGATAGTCAAAGTTATTTTTTTTTTATTTGTCAAAGTTATTTTGAAAGCTGCAGACAATATCAGATGATATTAATTTTCACTGGCTTTCATTTATTTCATATTTAATAAGAAATAAAAAATATACAGAAAAGATCAAATAGATGAAAGTTTTTACCTCCTCTTTAAAATTTTTCTTTTATACTACTTATGTATTTAACATTTTAACAGTTATAATGTACTTAATGTTTTATCATAAATATCAATAAGTGATAAATATATTTAATTGCCTGGGTAATAGATCTTTTTTGAACTTTGCTTATTTCTAATTTTTCAAAATAATATTTAGATTAGCAATGACTTGACAATATGTTTATATCTTGGATATTTTAGTATAATCTACCATGAATACAATTTTGATAATATTGTTGAATTGTCCAAGTTAAGACACAGCCAACACTTGTACCAGTTTTATCACAACTTTGCCAGAACTTGTTCATTTATTCTCTGTCCTTTTTTCTCTCTTCTTTCTCTGCCTCCCTCTCTCCCTTTCTCTGTTTTCTCTTCTTTCTTTCTCCCCCTCTCCCTCTTTCCCTGTCTCCTTGTCTCTCTCCATTTAAGCTACTTGTCACCAAAGGATGGTGCCATAAACACAACTTTTATTCTAGTTTTTGGATATGTTTATTCTTCATAATAAAAAATATGATATTTTGATACATGTATTTAAAATTATGTGAAAAATAATTCATAATGCATTATAGAACCTTTCTGTATTCTATGCCCTGAAAATGGAATTCCTTTAATCCTTATGACAGTCTCATAGGGCAAGCAGTGTTACTGTCCATAAACAGTGTTACTGTTTTATAGATGAAGAAAGTGGATTGAATGAGAATAAATAGTTTGACCAAAGTCACACAGTTAGTGGGAGGCTGTCTGGATTCAACCTAGACTGACTGATGAGAGAGCCAAACTGTACCAAGAGATTTAAAAACTCTAATGGAGTAAAATGTACAAAGCAATTAATTATACGTTTGAATTTCATTGCAACTAAAAGAAGAAATGGAAATAATTCATGTGTTCATAGAACGACAGAGCATCTAACGTGTAGATACAGTTCTAGGCTCTGGAGAGATGAAATAGAGCAAAGCAGATTAGAAAAAGGTCCTTGTAGAGGACAGCTTTCTGCAGGGAATAATCAATAAGAAGGGTAAGTAGGTTAAATATGGTAAGTGGCACAGAGAAAAACCAACCCAAAGGAACACTGAGATTGTGGCTGAGATATGAGGTCTAGTGGCCACAGAAGGCCTCAACATGAATGGCACGACTGGACAGGGACTTGTGGGACATGACGAGGAGGGTGCCTGTACACCTGCAGAAAGCAAAGCAAAGTGCCTGGCATGGGGAGGACATTTTTTTTTTTTTGGTCTTTTTGAGACAGGCTGGCCTTGAGCTCATTTTGTAGCTCAGGCTGGTCTTGAACTTGCGACGATCTTCCTGCCTAGGCCTCCCAAGTGCTGGGATTACAAGCGTGCACACTGGCTCATGTGCAGAACAGAGGTCGAGGCTAGTGTGGGCTCGGGGGACTGAGTGAGGAAGAGACGCTGGCGATGAGATCATGTAGATCTAGAGCTCATGGTGGTGGCTTCAAATTTCCCTCTGAGAAGCCAGTGGGTGATTTGGGGCAGAAGAGGGACACCATGCATCCTCTGACTGTCTGGTAGACAAAGACTGGAGAGTCTGACCCTGTTTAGCTAGGAGGTAGACAATACGGGCTGTGGTGGCCGCTGCGGGGTGGAGGAATGGGGTTGGGCTGATCCTTTTCCGTGGTAAATCTGACGGGCTTTATGAATGCAGGGTGGGCAGGCTTTGAGAGGTGGTAGCCAACGCTGGTGTCCTGTGTATCGAGCTACTCATTGGGAATATCTATCCCGTTTCTCTTTTAAGGCAGCCATCTGGGACGTACAACTCAGAAACAAGAAAAACCAATCTCTTCAAAGCCGGCAAGTGGGGGTGGGCACTAAGGCTCACCTACTCATAAGCAAGTTTTAAAGTTTTTGCTTATTCTTGAGTTATTATTCCAAAAGTAATCATTTTCAGATCACATTATTTTTTCAAATCATTAGATATTAGAAATGGCAAATCAAATGGGAAAGAGGATTATTCCCAGATTTAGAAAAAAATCATGTTCACTAGAAATAGTAGCTGACACCAGAAGATAAAGATAAAAACAACTAAAACATGAAAAAATGTAAAAGATAGAGAAGTGAGAATACTTGGTACAGGGTCTCATGCTTCTCAGGGCCTCAGAAGACCCTGTTAAAATAGGAATGAGTGTAATAGCCTTTGAATAGTCTTGTGCCATTCAAACCAAGTTAGACCGTTTTGAATTTTTTGGTCAAGGGAAGCAGAGAGGTAATAGATGTTTTGCCTCTCAAAGGAAGAAATGTACTGTGATTGCTTGGCTGCGTCAGTTTCTAGGGGAGCACAGAGGATATTCTGGCAGGTCTCAGTTTTGTGGTTCTATCTTAGGCAACTGGCTTAACAAACCAGAAGAAAGTATAGAGGGTTATTTCACTCCCCTTTCTTTTAAACTTAGAAGCTGCCTCAACTTCCGTTCCCGGGGTCCTTCTTGACATATTCCAAAATCCCAGTGTTATGGCTTGGTCTTGACATCCTCCAAGGTCTCATATGGTCCTAAGTGGGTCAGAGATGGCTGGGTCTAGGGTGTGTGGTGCTAGAATTGATTCATGGTGCAACGATAGCTAGGATCAAGGGCCCTAGGATTAAGGGTGAGAGTCTACTAAGTAGCCTGGATAAATATAAAGCATAGGAAAAGTGTGGTTGTTCCTTGTTGCTTTTCTGCCTTCTGCCCGCCATGAACTTTTTCTTCTCTTCAATGCCTATCTACCCTTTGTCATCTTTCTTTGGAGCCAGCTGATTATAGACTAAAATCTCTACAAACTGTGAGCTAAATGAACCTTTTATCTTTTTAGTTAGGTGTGAGTTATTTTGTCTCAGCAACAAGAAAAATAACTAAGACACCTAGAGACAATTCAAATGCTTTCACTAAGCTCCAAAGACTCCTAAGAACCAAATTTCTTTAAATCTTTCAGCATTAAACCAGTGTTATTTTCTGATTCTTATTTGGGGAAAATACAGTGATACAACCCATTTAAATCCAATTTCTGGCCTAGGGAAAATATGGTAATATATATTACTAGATTTAGGGTCAACCACCCTGAATTCAGATTTTGACGGGTTTATCAGACAGATTTGCATCTTTGGCAAGTTCCTTAACCTGTTTGTGTTACCGTTTTTTAAAGGTCAAGACAGTTAAGACTTTATAAGGCTGATATGAAAATGAAATGGAACAGCATAGAAAAAGCACCTTTCCATCATGTCACGTAGTGGACTTTTAGTAACTGGTTTCTTTCTCTCAGGATTCCATCTTCTTCCAGCTCCAAGTGAGGATCAGAAAGGTTGCATAATCATTCAGGAGAGTGATGATCAAGGAATCTGCACTATGAATCTCACACACTGAAGTTCCTGGGTAAGTGAAATGTTGGTTTAATAGTACAAGTCCTTTTGGAGTTTCTTGAGCACAAGCATGCCACTGGTGTCCCCAGCACAGACTCTGAACCGTCTGGTGTTCTGGGGTGAGGACTGCTTTGTCTAGAAGATGGTATTTTAGATTCGGGTGAGATGAAGACTCTGTGCTCCCCTTATGTTGTCTCAGCATTTCTGTCTGAAACACAAAAGTGCCGAGAGGTACAAACTGCCTGCAAAATAACAGAGGCCGGGCAGACGATGAGGCCCATGCATTTTCTCTTTAAACCAGCAGGATGTATTTATCTCTGACTGGCTGCGCTGTGCTTCCCAGGATATAATAAATCTTAGCCTCCCAGGAACAATGGGTGTGTGTGTGGCAGGTGGGGAGACTGTAAGGGTCTGCGTTCACTTCATACCTAGTGTGTACATCTTACAATTCTGACTGGGAAATGAGGATCAAAGCATTTCAGACAGAAATGAAGAAGACGGAAATGAAGAAGACGGAAATGAAGTGGTCACTGCCTGCTCACAGCCAGGCAGGTGTGCAGCAGAACTGCATCTGTAGTGCAGTCTGGGTCCAGAGCCTGCAGCTGTCACACTGCTGCAGCACATGGGCCTGGGCTGCTGAACTGTGGGGACATTTCCACAGTTAGCACAACAGGGCCTGACAAACACTACCCCTCTTTGCGGATATTCCTTGCAAGAAGCAGTCCTGGGATCAAACATAGCTTTACACTCCCAATCTCATGATGAAGGAACTTGTAAAAACTTTCCCCCAAACCTATCTCCCTTTGAATGTTTACCTGACTTTGGGATGGATATGCCCTGGAACATCCTTAGGAAATGCTGTGTAAGAACCCTCACAGTGTGAGATGTAAGCATCCCAAAGCAGGGTTGTGACTGAGAGCCTCCTTAGTGCCTCTTAAACAGGAGGGCTGAGTACATGACATGCAAGCAGAAAGTCTCCACTCCAGCTACCCTGACGGAATTTCTGGGGGGAAAGAACAGCACAGACCTGTGCTCGCTCAGGGGAACAATCTGCTCTTTTTGTACCTTCTCTCCTGAATGTTTATGCGACCTTACTGATCCTCACTTGGAGCTGGAGGAAGATGGAATGCTGAGAGAAAGGAAGCAGTCACTAAAAGTCCACTAGGTGACACAGTGGAAAGGCGCTTTTTCTATGCTGTTCCATTTCATTTTCATATCAGCCTTATAAAGTAAGTCTTAACTGTCTTGACCTTTAGAAATGGTAACACAAACTCAAAGAGGTTAAGGAACTTGTCAAAGATGCAAATCTGATAAACTTGTCAAAATCTGAATCCAGGTTGGTTGATCCTAAAATCCAGTGTACATTACCATATTTTCCCTAGGCATAAAACGATTTGTGTGGACTATATCACTGTATTTTCCCCAAATAAGAACTAACCAGAAAATTGGCCTTAGCATGAATGCTTATGATAAGCTCCACCTCCAAAATAAACCTTAGTTAAGGTAGTCAGACAGACACATTTGGTACATTTGTTGTTACACATAATGGGTATATTGAATTATAAAATAATATCAATATATAAGTAAATCTAAATAATGTCATTGATATTATTTCTTAAAATGAACGATAATATAAATTATAATTTAGTGTTTGTAAATACCTTTGGCTGAGAGGTAAACGTCTATGTCAACAATGAATTCCAGACTTAATGTCAAATGACCAACTATGCACAGATACCACATGTGTATGAGATATACACTTAACAAATGGACTCGGCTGGGTCTAATATAATTTGGTATGTCATGTGTTGTAGTGATGCACCATGAGCAGGCTACAGAAGCAGGAAATGCTCATTAAGGAGATCTCTGTTCCTGGACATGAGAGATCAGGGCCAATACTTCTATAGGAAATGGAGTCACAAGAAATTCAGGCCAGAATTTGGGGTTTGGAGAGTTACAGTGATACTCCAGAAGTTGATGTGACTGTACTTGAATACATGTAGGTTAATGTACATGAATAAATGAATAAGCACAGATTGTCATACATACATGAATAAATATAGACTATTGACCATGAAAAAATAAGACATTCCCTGGAAAAAGTCTTACTGTGTCTTTTGAGGCAATATGGTTGTACAGCATGGAGACTTCGATGTTCTTTAAATATGTTGTAGATATTAATTCATAGTATTGCGCTTATTAAGTCCATAGACTTAACTACTTTCTTTTGGCTAATGGCTCTTCTTCATTGAAAAAAATAATATTTGACCATTCCAAAACCTGGAGTAGTAAACAGTATTCAGGTACTATGCCTGTGTGAAAGCTGCATTACTGTGCTGTTTTTGGAGAGAGAGTCCCTTGGCTCATTTCTTGCTTGACTTCACTGTGTCAAACCTTAAAAGACAGGAAAACTTACTGACTTGCTTTACAAGAGTTGGGCAGAACTGGCAGTCTTTGATTAAAGGCCTGAATCAACTTGGAGGAAATTGTATTTTGTCTATGATAGGCAGTGTCTGAAGTGTAAGAGGGTAATTATCCAGGGAAAATATAGGTAAGAAAAACCAAGATATGAGTTATTAACGGAAAGTAAACCCAAAGAGTCAGCATACTTTAAATTTTAGGCTGTTTATGAATCAGCCAAGAGATGAATTATAAGTGTTTTAATATCTGTGAAATAAGTGTACTAAGGAATTAGAAAACAAATTTTCCAAGTAGTATCATTCTTTCAAATGGCTCCAAAAGCTATTTGACAGGCAGTGATGATCATAAATGGCATAAAACCAATAGTAACTACTATTAATGAACATTTACAATGTCCTGAGCATATATTAATCACATGCTGTGCTTTATCTCATTTAGAAGTTGGGAGTTCTGGTGAGCAGCGTGTCTTTTGAATGGTAACTGTGGGAGAGCTGGGGTACGGTCTCTTCTGGAGCAGGCCAGATGTCCTCTTTCTTTGCCTCACCCCTTCTGGTTCCCTTGTGCCTGTCACTGTCCTTGTGTGGGCAGATGTTTTAGGCTTTCACACTTGCCCTGTCTGAAGTGCCTGCCCTGCTGCAAAGAACAGAACACCCATGGTTCAGTTATCTTCCTAATCACATAGCAGTGTGTTTTACACCATCATAGACCATGAGAACAAAAGGTGTTTCTCCTTTAATGAAAACAGAGTACGTGCAGGTGCGTTTTCAGATCTCATGGAGGCGGCCTGCCCGCCAGGACCTTGTAACTGCTCTGGGATCCCCCAGCAGCTTCATGACTTGGTCCTCTGGTGGCCACATCTTTATGGAGACACAGACATTCTCTGTGCCTGCTTTATGTTATACAACTGTTGCCAACTGCTTCTTCCAGTCCCCAGTTTGAATTTCATGAGAGGGAGGATGTGAGTGCTTCAGCTAGTAGGTTTCTGTACAGGAGGCCAGTGCTGGGTTGGGCGTCTCTCCAGTGTTGGTTGGAAACAGCATCCATCCCTAGTCTGCTGGGCTGTGGCCAGAGAGGCAGAGTGGCATAAGGCAGGGCTGGAAAATCCACAGGGCCATGGGGACGGGTGTGTTTTTAGAAGCTTCTAGAAAAAGGTTACAATCGTTAGACACCTTTATTGGTCTATCCAAAATCAGTTTCTTGACACGATTGTTGTACCAAAAATGTTTAAAAATTATTTTTCTTTACGATAAGCAGCAGACTTCTGTTGCTAGTCAGATGACTTGCAACTACTCTAGTATCTCCCCTTAGAAAGACCCATATCAAAGTGAAGTCAGAATCACTTAGTGCTAGATGAACAGTGATGCTAGGTGGCACGAGATGAGTACACAGCTCGTGTTTAGAGGTATGCACAACCCATGCCAGGGATAGGCTGCCTCTGGGCCTGGAACACATGGCTTCTTTAGCTTCAAATGTCTACATCTATCACATGCTAGCGATGGCCTGGCACATGGTTTGCTCATTGGGAAAATCTTCGGGACTATGAAGACAGTGCTACCTGAGTCTCCCTGAGTCAGTACCAATCTTGGCCTCTGGGACTTGCCTTTTTCTAAGGATGATGCCTTAATCCAGGGTTTCCAGAGAAACAGAGCCAGTCAGATGTAGCTACACACAGAACATACAATGTGTATACAAAGAAAGAGATCTTTAAATTTTTTTATTTATCTCTTTGTGATACTAGGTGTTGAGCTCATTGTGGTGGCCTGTTTAATGTGTTTACTCTCAGAACTCCAGAGTCCGGGGCTGGAGAATTGCTGTAGCTTTGTCTGGCTTACATAATAAGTTCAAGGCCAGCCTGAAATGTTAGTTTTTATTTTGTGACAAGGTCTTGTTCAGTCGCTAAATCATCCAGGTTGTGCTCAAATTTGCTCTTTTTCCAGACTGTTGGGATTCTACGTGTGTACTCCTTGTGCCTAGCTGAAAGAGGTTTATTTTAAGGACACTGCCTATCATAGACAAAATACAATTTCCTCCAAGTTGATTCAGGCCTTTAATCAAAGACTGCCAGTTCTGCCCAACTCTTATAAAGCAAGTCAGTAAGTTTTCCTGTCTTTTAAGGTTTGACACAGTGAAGTCAATATGTTCATATGCCAAGGAAGGCTGACCATCTCAAGATCTGTAGCTGGCTTATAAAGTTTTCGCTTATTAATTGGAAAGGCTTTATTCTGGGCTTCTTGATATGGAAATATTTGAAGCTATAGTATATGAAGTTTTATTCAAATATTTCAAGGAAAAAGACAGACACTATGGTAACTACTATTAAGTCGGGTTATTTGGTGGTGAAGCACTATGTTGCTGAAACCGTCATGCTTTGACCTGTATTGTTATATTGTTATGTCCTGTTTTATCTCAATCTCTCCCTTATTCTTTAAAAAAATTATTTAGTTATTTCTTATGTTTGTTTTAATTAAGGGGAAAAATTAAAAAAATTAGCAGGATATATAATAGTAACTTTTTTTGATTTCCTATTAACTTGTTTTGAAGTTCTGTAATACTCCCACTATCTTGTTTTGACTTATTAGACTCTGTTCCATT